AAAAATTAGCCGGGTATGGTAGCGCGCGCCTGTAGTTCCAGCTACTTGGAAGGCTGAGGCGGAAGGATCGCCGGAGCCCAGCAGGTTGAGGCTGGGAGCAGCCACTGCACTCTAGTCTGGGCGACAGGGTGAGACTTCAACTCAAACAAATAAACAAAAAATGTGTGTAACATGGCATTTCCCATGAATTTCAAGACAGAGCATATTCCAGGCATGCCTGGCAGCACACAACTGAAGGGGAGATGGAACAGGGTCCCAGCTAAGAGTTGGAGGCTTTGGAGTCACACCGCCTTAGTCTGACTCTCAGCTCTGAGTCCTGTGTGAAGGTAGCAACCTTCCTGGGGACCACCCATGTGTGCAAGGCAGTGTGTATGGTGAGAAGGGAGCTGAACAAGGAGGCAAGAGCACTCACTCTAACTCCAAGACTGTCTCTAAACAGTCACCTAACTTTGGCCAAGTCAACCTCTCCTGAGGCTTCAATGACCCCATCTGATAAAGGAAAGAGTTGGATCCAATGAGCTCTGCTTTGTTTAATGATTTCAGTTGAAGTTTTTAAGATCAACCAGGTGAACGTGATCACTTCTCCTAGGGGAAACGTGGTTCTTTATAACACAAGTCCATAGCGAGTGAGCTTCCTCTAAAACCCACTGGAACCAAAGGCCCTCCCACACCTTTCCTTCATAGCAAAAGGTGAGCAGCTACTTTTGAGCATATAATTAGCCATCCCTTTAAATTAATGTGTGTAGGAGCTGGGAGACAGGAGGAGGTGGTGTGAAGAGTAAAACCTAAGACCTACCAAGAGCAGTGAAAGTAAAAAGTAAGCTGCATTTTCTTTTCTACAAAACAGCTTTCTGCCTTAATTATAGGCTAGGACCCAGACTCTCTGAATGAAGCTTATCAAAATCCTTTTACTGTTTGGCAACCTTGCACAGACCTGCAATTTCTCGTCCATGTCATCATCGCTTTCATCCAGGTCCTCATGGAGCAATCGCCATTCATATTCAACGTGAACATGAGAATTAAACCTTCCAGATAAGGCTTGGGTCAGCTGAGAGAACAAAGGGATGGTCAGTGTCATTGTTCACGCACTCAGCCATGTAAAGTGGGCACCCACTGAGGTGTCCAGACAGACAGATGACAAACAGCACAGGGAAGGGGCCTTGGAGCATAGGGAACCTGCTTTCCAGGCCAAGGCAAACTCACTGAAATCTCTGGGTCTCAGATTAAGCCCCTTCCCTCCACCTAATTCACAGGGTAATCTTTCAATTTAAAGTGAGGGCTTTGTAAACTGTAAAGTACTGTGCACAGGCAAGGAATATTTGAGATCTAAAGGATGATGATCAGCCTGCAGGTACTGACACTACATATGGGAGCAAACTCAACAAATGTGCTCTTTCATTGTTAACCCAACATTTTTTATCAGTATAAGAGAATTAAGCCTTGCAGAAATGACTGCTTTATCAATTCTCTCAAGGAAAGTGGATAGCAGATGTGCAGAAGAGAAGTTAATTCATTACATACTACGGATGTCTTAGGATCTCAGGGCTTAATTTTCCCCATAGCCAGAGTAGCTGTGTGACCTTGGGCAAGTTATTTAACTTCTCTATGCCTGCTACCTCATCTGTAAAATGGGGAGAAGAGTATAAACTGTCATACAGTAGTTATACAGATCAAATGAGTTAATGCATATATAATGCTTAGAAATAGCACCTATTACTTATCCTATATTCATATTACATTTATTATTAATAGTTCTATTTATTGAGCATTTACTATGTGCCGATTGCTTTAAAGAGTTCAACAATGATTCTCAGTAATCAATATCCAACGGACTTGCCAACTGGTATAGCTGATGCCACGTCACAAATAAGGAAACGGTCAGAAAGAGTTTGCATATCCTTTCCCAGTCACAGTGATGAGCCCCACAGTAAGCCCAGGGCTGCCTGATCTAGTGGGCTCTTTCCAATGTCCACACTGTCTCTTCTTCCAGAAGGGAAAGGACAAAATGGTGCAGAGCAACTCATGTGATTTGGGGGTAAGTAAGGAGGCCAGTTTTGATGTGCTGCACAGTGAAGAGCTAAGAATGAACTCACAGATGCCAGAGAACAGGCAGTTGTGGCTGGCCATGGACCTCTGTTCCACTTGCCCAGACAAGGCCAGTGCTGTCATCAGCACATCCAGCCGGCAAAGACCGAATCATGTCCCCAGTCTCACCACGTGGGAGGTGGTCCCCTCCTCTATAATGACTCCCCAGGACACTTTCTCCAGGTTGACCCGATTCTCAGTTCGTCCCATTTAGGACTCTGAGATCTGCTCTGCGACACAGGCTGAGGGCTCAGAGCAAATCCCCCAAGGAGGACAGCCCAGCTTCCTGTCCCAGGAGGTGGGGCCTGTCCTGCCCACGCTGTGGGGTGACTCACCAGCTCCTCACAGTGCTCGTGCTTGAGGCGCTTGGCAATGTCCAGCGGCGTCTCTCCTGACTCATTTGCTAAAAGTCAAGGGCAAGGAAAGGAGCATTACTGCAAAAACCAACAAAGGCCTGACATTTTTAAAAAGATCCAGAGAAGCAGCAATAAATTAAATTGAGCCCAGTTAATGAAATCTACAGTTAGTTTGACCTAGTCGGGGCTGAATTTATCTTATAATTGTATAGAACTGCAGTCAAGCATAAAGTAAAAATTTAAAAGACAAGGTTTGAGCTAATCAAGAAAAGTAAAACTCTTGAAGCAACAAACTAATTAAAATCAATATCCAGCAGTTCATCGTAAATCTCTAACTAAAAACACAGCTAGTTCCATGCATTGGAATGTAATAAACTTTTATGACTTCCTTTAAGCATTTTATAAATGTGAAATTTTGTACTTTCTTCTACACACGTTTCAGTCAACAAGGCTTGATTATTAATTTTTTAATAGTAAACATGGCTCTCAAGCAGGTATGTGCCTTTTTCTTATTTTCCTCTTCATTCAATCACTCTTAAAAAATACTTCATGTGATGATAACAGCTGGATGCTCTCAAGGCAAAGCTGTGCATTGGTTACTGGTATGTCAGGGTCCCATGACAGAAGAAGGGACGAAGGCCAAGTAAGAATTAGGGTCCCTTGTGAGAGGTGTTCAGTGCAAATGAAAGAAGGGGCAGTGAACAGCATCCCCCCAGTAAACCATCTAAACCCAAAGCCAAGTAAGGGGCCAAGTGTGATCTCCGGTGGGGGTGAGAAGGCTCAGAGCTTGTGAACAGGTCGTCAAAATTCCCCGACCTTGTCCAAATTCACCCAGTATCAGAGAAAACTGCAAAGCCCATGCTTTGCCTGTCTAATAATCTGTAAAAATGCCTGTAAATGCCTCTGCAGTCTAAGTACAGATGGTGAATTAATCTAAGGCCACATGAGCCGTGCAGAACAGGCAGGGAGAAGCCCTCTCTCATCAGAGGCAGGTTTTCCTTCTCCTCAGGGCTGACGGGAGCCCAAAAGGCTGGCCCTGCTTCTGACAGCAGCACGGGGACTGCAGACAGGAGGCGGAGACCAGAGGGTGGCTGGACCCCAGGCAGGGACCCCAGGGTCCACTTACCTATCTCAATGGAGGCCTTCCCCCGCAGGAGCAGCTTGAGGCACTCGGCGTTGTCAGTCAGGCAGCAGTAGTGCAAGGCCGTGCTGCCTTTACCAGTCTGTTTATCCAGGTTCCCGCTGGCCAAGAACAGGCACAGAGAAAAGAGAAACAATAGTGAGTCACAGGCCAGAGTACCAGGGACTGCTCAGCAGGGAACCTGGGACACAAGATTGGGAGATGCAGTGAGCAATCACAGGCCACAAGTGAATAGTTGCTCTAAATCTCCCCAAGATGAGGGAGGAGCACCACACGTCCCTGCCTAGATGAGGAGTCCTTGCTCAAGGCTACCAGGAAAAAAACACAATGATGGCAGAAAGGTCCAGAGAGGAGTAGGGCATCCATGCTGCTGCTGAGCAGGGGACAAGGGAGGGTAAGTGCCCTCCAGGCCAGCCTGGAACCTCAGAATCCTTCCTACTTCACCAGCTGTGTCTGGGGTCCACCGTGCCCCACTATGCTGGGCAGCTGTGGACACAGGGTCTTAGGAAGCCTCCATGACTCACCATCCCGTCCCACTGAACGACAAGGGTCAACTTTTTTCCATCTTATTACTTGACACTCCCACTAGGAAGGGGAAAAGCCATTGCCAAAGTCCAGAGTCCCAAGGCTCCTTTGAGCCTGTTTGCCCTGGGACTGTCCTCTGACAGGCTAAAGGGGAATTTGGGGAAGATGTTCAAAAGTTCTTTCAACGAAAACCAAGACCAGGTTATCCAAAAAGGGTGCTCGTGCTTAGCAGACATGGAATGAGCCACTCCACTCATCAATGGGGATGGCCCTGCCAGGGTGGCCACCATCACGTTCTGAGGAAAGACAGCAGGGTTTGTGTCCCTGCACATACAAGTGGGACAGAAGGATGACCTCACGAGGTGGACCAGCTGCTCCCATCAGGAGGAAGCTAGCCAAATTTTCATTGTCAAAAAGGAGCCTCATTTTCTGGTTGCTCCCCTACTTCTGTCCTTCTTCCAGACAATGCCAGTGTTGTCATCAGCACATCCAGGAAAGAAAAGGAACCAGGATTTTCCTTCTCCTGCCCCCTGAGAATTTACATTGAGGGAGATACAACATTAGCTATTAATCAGAGCAAATGTTTACAATGCCCCTGCTGTGTTCTAGGTGTGGGCTGGTATTTAGAGGACGGTGTATTGGAGCAGCTTCCACCATGAGTCCAGTGAACTCAGGATCCTCAGGAGGAGCTGCAGGTCTTGGGGCCAGGTCACCCTAAGCGCCCCTGCTTTCTGGCCAGTTCTTCCCTCCTCTGCCCAGGAATGAAAAGGAAAAGCAGAGGACACAAAATGCAAACTATTCCGTTGCTTTTGCATTTTCGAATTTTCTATTCCTTTTGGAGCAATTTTTATGGCTATTAGTCAGCACCTCTCCCTACAATACACATTTGCCCCAAACCACCATTAGGCAGTCAAAATACACATTGAGGAACTTTAAAGTCCAGCCTTCAGCTGCCAGGCAGGTAAAGCGCACGAGTGAAGCAACATGCACCAAACAACAGGGCCTGTGGTAAACTGCATATGACATCTCTAAAGGTCATTTTTAACCAAAGCATAAAAACAACTTGTCCACCCAAACAAAATGTCCATCAATCCAGTGTTCCGGTTTATATTCTTTGGCTTAAACCAGTGGCTAACACGTGGCTCTTTTCTTGCCTCATATGTCTCTACTGCTCAGGACACTCTACTTGGGCCACATGAGAGAGCCACCTCACAGGATGATGCTAGGGATGCCCCTGTGTACCCTGGTGTTTACAGGGTCCTCAGAATCCAGCAGGCATATTGACTTGGTATTTCCCTAAATCCTAGACTCTAGAAGGTGAATCTTTCTTACCACAAAGGATTTCTAGGGCTTTTTTTTTTAAAGGATTGCCATGGAATATCCCACACCTAAATTAACTTTTTCTGTCCCATAATTCATTTTTAGCACTGGGAAGGTTCTCTTGACAACACAACTGAAGAAATTAAGCGGTATCTGATGCCTTCCTCAGAAATACCAAGGAACAAAAACAAATGCCTCCCCTTAATTTGAGAACACCTACCTGTTCTGGACTAAAAAATCTACAATGTGAAGAGAAGTCCGATCCACAGATCTGACTGCAAGATGGAGGGCTGTTTCATCTGGCTCCTGAAAACCAAACAAAGACATTCCAGAATTCTAATGGTAGCATTCAATTTTGTGTCCGAACACAAGTGAAATGGTTTTATTCATTCCTTCAAAAAATTTAAGATAAATGACAGCCCCTTTAATCTCCACAGCAAGCTCTCTGTCTTTGGAAACGTGCAATTTAGAGACGGGCTCTACTTCTTACTCCATGGAAAATAAACAAGAAATTCAGAGGTTACATTCTAAGTCCTCTCAGTTGATATGTCCCCATCCCCACATCAACAAGACAAGGAAGAAGGGCTCAGTGGCTCAGCCTGTAATCCCGCGCCTTTGGGAGGCTGAGGTGAGTGAATTGCCTGAGCCCGCAGGTTCAAGACCCGCCTGGGCAACTTGGCGAGACCTCATCTCTACAATAAAACAAAATTTACCCAGGTGTGGTAGTGCACGCCTGTAGCCTGTAGTTCCAGCTATTTGGAAGACTGAGGCGGAAGGACAGCCGGAGCCCAGCAGGTAGAGGCTGCGGTGGATGGCAGCAGCCACTGCACTCCAGTCTGGGCGACAGAGTGAGACTCCAACTCAAAACAAAACAAACAAACAAAAAACACAACACAAGGTGTTGCCTGCAAGGAGGGATCTTGTAAAGAACCTAAAACGCCAGGCGTGGTAGCACTTTGGGAGGCTGAGGCAAGAGGACTGTCTGAGTCCAGGGGTTCGAGACCAGTCTGGGCAACTTGGCGAGACTTTGTCTCTACAATAAATCAAAAAAATTAGCTGGGCATGGTGGCACACACCTGTGGTTCCAGCTATTTAGAAGGCTGAGGCAGAAGGATCACTCGAGCCCAGCAGGTCGAGAGTGCAGTGTCCTTGTCTTGTTGATGTGGGGATGGAGTACCACTGCACTCTAGCCTGGGCAACAAAGTGAGACTCCAACTCAAAAAAAAAAAAAAGAACCCAGAAGTCTCCCTAGGCCTTCTATGCTTCAATCTCTTTACCTGCTCCTTGAATAGATAGAAATGCCTATTTTTAAAGCAGAGTTAAAGTTTTTCATTCTAACTTACAGACAAGGCTACGAATGCTAATACTTGTAATACTTGCACGATTCTCCAGTTCCTACCAGGGGATACATGACCACTACCACCTTTTGTTGAAAGTGTGCCTGGCAGGTGGGAAATAAGAGAAAAGATGAGGACTAGGTGCATGGGTTAGAGAACCGGAAGGGAAGAAAAGATCCACAGAGACACGAGGCGTAAGGAGGTGCCACCCATCCTGCCTTCTCTGCCTGCTTGGTCCTCTGGCCACAGCATAGCTCTGCACTGAGTACTCTCTGCCCTGCCCTGTACAGTGAGTCTAGAGATTAAGAGGGAGCAGGACCAGCCTGCATGTGTGTCTGTCACCAGGAGAAAGGAGCATTGGCCTAGGCCTAAGAGGACACGGCTAAACCCCCATGGTGTTCTGGATTCAAAACACAACAGCTCCACATAGACAGCTTCACTGATAAGGGGCAAGCCTGGTCCAGAGGTCAGGAGGTTCCAGGGGACCCAAATCAGAAGACACACAAAGCCTTTGGGCACTGGTAGCTTATTGTGGACCTGCTTCTGATGGTAATGCCCACCCTCTCAAGACAGTTCCCTAGGGAAGTGGGAGATCTCTCTCTCTCTCTCTCTCTCTCTCTCTCTCTCTCTGTGTCTCTCTCTCTCTCTCTCTCTCTCCCTCCCTCCCTCCCTCTCTCCTATACTGTTCCCTCAGGGAAGAAAGCACAGTGGAGTGCAGGTTCCAGGGATCTATTCCTCTCAGGGTTCTCCTCCTCAAGAACGTGACACCTAAACATGGCTGTGTCCAGGCTCCCAGTAGAAGTACAAGACTCAGGCTAAACTGGGTCACAGAAGAGCCTTTCAGGCTGCCCGGGCTTCTGAGAAAATGCCTTCCCTGCCCCATCCTGGGGATGGGCTTTCTTTCCAGAGCTGGTGTTACATTTTTGGTAGAGAGTTAACCACTGGGTGAGTATAGTTTCAGTCAGACAGAAGGAATAAGTTCTGGAGATGACTACACAGCAGGGTGACTACAATTAATAACAGTGTATTGTTGTTTTCAAAACTGAGATTGTAAATGTTCTCACCATGAAAAATTGATGTGTATGTAAGGTGATGGATATGTTAATTAGCTTGATTTAATCATTCCACAATGTAAACACATATCCAAACATCACACTATGCTCCAGAAATACATATACAATATTTGTCAACTAAAAACAATAAACCCCTAATTTCTTCCTACGGAATGCAGTACTATCTTCCTCCAGGGAATTATACAACTTTGGTTAGTATTTCTGATTACACTCTCCAGTCATAGTTTCCCCTCCTTTTCTTGTTTTCTTTTTTTTTAAGTAGCAAGCTACACTCTTACATGTCCATTGGCCAGAGGGATTTTTTCTGTAAGATCCACACCATCAGCGTAAGCTTGGAGTAATCCAAAAATATCTCTAGTTTTGACGGCCTCACAAAGGCTGTGAAGCTTTGTTGCATTATCTGTGTGCTTTTTCCTTGCATATCTCCTCTCAATATACTTGGCCGTAATGTAGTCCTTTCTTGCATTCCTGAAACCAAACATAATTGCTTTGTTTATCATTTAGGGCCTCAATTCAGCCCATCCAGCATCCATTCATCTACAACCACTTTAACAAATCCTTCCCATCCCTTGTAAGTGGCACTGGCCACAAAACACAAAGCAGGAGCAGCTGCCACGTGGTTCTATGGCTATACCTGGGTTTACTGCAACCCCTTGGGAGCTGGACAGGAAACAACTCCACTGTGGTCTACCCACACCATGAAGAATTAGTTAGCAATAAGGTATGAAGTCTGATACACACTAAGAAGGATGAATTGCAGAAACACTGTGCTATGTGAAAGAGGTCAGTCACAAAGGGCCACAAATTGTATGATCCACTGCTAGGCAATGTTCAGAACTGGCAAATCTACAGAGACAGAAAGTTGTTGCCTGGGACTAGGGTATGTAGGGTGTATGAGTAGGTGGTGGTTAACAGGTACAACGTTTCTTTTTAGGAGGATAAAAATCTCAAAAAAATTGTTTTGGTGATGGATGCATTACTTTGTGAATATGCTAAAAGGCACTGAGTTGTACACTTTAAATGGGTAAATTATATAGCATGTGAATTACATTTCAATAAAGTTGCTAAAAAAGAAATGTCAGGAAAAATCAAATTCCACTGACAATATTTTAGCCAACAAATCTACCAAAGATATAAAGAATAACCTGACAGAATGTTGTCCCTTTGGTTTCTCTTTCTTTTTTTTTTTTTTTTTGAGTTGGAGTCTCACTCTGTCGCCCAGACTGGAGTGCAGTGGCCACTTCCGGTTACTGCAGCCTCGACCTGCTGGGCTCCAGCAATCCTTCCTCCGCAGCCTTCCGAGTAGCCAGAATTACAGGCATGCGCTACCACGCCCGGCTGATTTTTTGATTTATTGTAGAGATGAGGTCTCGCTGCCCAGGCAGGTCTCGAACCCGTGGGCTCAGGCAATTCACTCACCTCAGCCTCCCAAAGGCGCGGGATTACAGGTTGAGCCACTGAGCCCGGCTGGTTTCTCTTGCCCACTCTTTCTGGAAGGTGTGAAATACACTGAAGTTTCAGAAGGTCATGCAGAGGAGGAGGAACTGAATGGAAGGGCCTGCATGCTTTCTGATGGTCAGTTTCGAGAGGGTGCAGAGTGATCACGAGCCTGGGCCAGTTCTCAAGTTAGCTCTACCACTTGCCATGTGTGTGATGTGGGCGCTACTCAACCTCCTCATTTGTAGAATAAGAATCATGACATCTACCTCACAGGGCTGTTGCAGGATTAAATGAGATACCACACAGAAGCACTGAGCACAATGTTCTAGAAAGGCCAGTGATAATGACTGTAATGGTTGGCACCAAATGCAAAGGCTAACTAAAGTGGCATAGGACAGAGGTCAGTTCTTCTCAGCTCAGGTACCACTCACTGCCACCCTTTTCCTTGGGCTGCTCTTACCACATCTGCACTCACCACTGCTCAGTTACCAGGGTCCTCATGTCAACACCTCAGAGGTCCTGGCTGAAGTGCACCAAGGTTTAGAAGTGGGCAGGTCAACTCCAGGCTGTCAGGGGAGGGCAGGGGCTCTAGTCCCCAGCAAGAAATGCCAGTACTGACTTGCTCCTGACCTGATAAATCCACTTCAACACGCACTGTCCTTCCTTTGTAGGCACCAAGGGAAAGGCATAGGAGGGGCAGAACTCTCCTCTGGCTCCCCATCAAATGCCTGAGACAGTATTCTCTGAGTGTGGGCCCCAGACCACCTGGGTGTTTATAAAATGTAGACTTCCCAACCCTGGGAACCAGAATCTGGAGGGCAGGGTGGAGGACTCTAAACCTCGATTCTCACTGCAGGTTGAAAGCCACTGCTCAGGTGACCCCTAGAATCTTAAGAGGGCAAGAACCAGGCAGGAACATACCAGTCACATGTGTCTCTAACACCCTGCCTACAAACAGAGGTTGTGTGTGACTGCTGCCTTTTGGGCTGGTGTCCTCACCTGGTTGCCTCCTGGCCTCCTCTCTCTCACCCAGCTGTCTCTACGTCAAGGGCCCATAGCTGCTAAAGTGGCTGTGGTCTTGTCTGTACCTGCCCTAAGTCCACATGGAACAACCTGCCCTCCTGAAGGGGTACCTGAGCCCCCTGGGAATGGAACCCCAGGTAGAGATCTTGTCTACGCTGGGGTCCTGAGGGCCCTGAGGACGGGCCAGCCTAAGAGGAGAAGCCATTATACACATGATGCCCAGAGAGAAACAAGCGGGCAGGGATCTCCTGCCAGCATTTGTTAGGTCTCTTAACTCCTGCCCTTGGGTGCATGTTGCTCCTGGACAGTCCACAGTGTGAGGCTGGCTGGTTCAGCAGGAAAGGAAATCGCACTCAGGGCACCATGTCCACCTGAGTGGGCAGTGCTTCACAGCCCAGGAAGGACTTCCAGGGGCACCTGGTGAACTTATTCCAGAACTTTTAATCACACTGCATCCCTTCTGCTCCAGTCCCAGTTTTGCCCACCCTGCAGGGCCTATATGAAGGCTGATGCCTCAACCTCCTACAGTGTGCGGCCCCTGTCCGTAAGGTGCTAACTTGCACACTGCACTGACTGTTGCTGGGTGATGTCTGCATGAATCACCTCACAAAAGTCAAGTGGAGATTCAGTGCCTCCCTGGATCCTCACAACATTGCTATCAGTTTTTATCTCCAGCTACAATAAGTAAAACAGGCCCTCGAATAACATCAGCTCATTCAAAGTTGTTTCCTTACAACGCTGATAAGAAAAAAAATCAATTCCCTATATGGAGTGTGCACACTCTCCCCATGTCTGTGTGGGTTTTCTCCAGGCACTCGAATTTTCTTCTGCATCCCAAAGACGTGCACATTAGGTTAAATGGCATGTCTCAATGGTCCCAGAGTGAGTGAGTGTGGGTGTGAGTGCACCCACAATGGGACGGCATCTACCTAGGGCTGGTGACAGCTTTGTACCCTGAGCTGCTAGGACAGGTCCTGGCTACTTGCAACCCTGAACTAGAATAAATGGGTATAAAATTACCTTACTTTTTGCTTCTACGAATCTTTCTTAAATGTATGCATAGATCACATTTATTCCATGTTTAATATCAGAAGTGTCTGGGTCTTTATTTAGAAGTTTGGTGATATTTTTGTGATCAAAAATAGCCTATAGGAACTTAACTCTTGTTTATCTCTATTGGTCTAGGGGGTAAAACTGGTTTCCTTGTGTGTCATTTCACTTAAAGCTGCAGTTCCCAAGAACCTATGGACAGCGTTAAATGAGAAATTACTATGTCCTGAAGTCCACTGAGGCGAGATTAGACCCTGACTCCTCAGGCATGTGGTAAGCCTGCTGGAAGCAGGTCTGTTTTAACTGTGGAGGGTCTCCTCTCAGGACCTCCTAGCACAGTGTGTGATACCCAGAGAACTGCTCAGTTGCTGGCTTGATGGCATGTCATGGTGGGCAGTCCATTTAATGATGTTCTTGTGACAGGCAGCTAGACTGGACAGTCATCAGGTTTCCTGTACTTTCAATAATAGTGGTGGGACAGTCATCACTGTGACCTCCCCCCCAAAGGAAAAAGGCAGAGATAAAGCAGCCTTCCTTTACTTAATTTTTTAATATATTATTCATCTGTGCAGGGTTTTGAGGTCCCCGAAGGCAGTTCCCACACAAACACGAGTGTGGGTCTGTTCAACTCCACACATGCTCCCTGGTTTTGTGAAAGAGGTTTGCTTTGAGAATCTCCCTTTTTTTTTTTTAAGACTTGGGTTTCTGCAGAAAAGCGATGAGCTTAATATAATGCTACATTTAGTGCTCAGAGGAGGGGCTTTCCTTACGCCTCTCAAGGGCAGAGTATATATAATGATCATGAATCGCAGAGAGAAACAGTCTGACCTCTAGGAACAGATTCATGTCTGACCTTTCCCCACCCCATTAAATTCTCTCAACACCTCCAAAACCCATCTGGAGATTCATAGGCCACTAGAGGGTGCCTTTGGTTTCCCCTTTAACAGATTTATCTGCAGATGGTGTGTGGTACTGAGATTAAGCTAGAAACAGTACATTCCTTTTCATCTGGAAGTAAAATGTTAGCTTATTTAAGAATGCACAGAGCTAGAACTATTTCTTTGACTTGTTGATTCATTAAATATTCACCAAATCACCACAAGCTACATTTACAGTAGAAAAACAAAAATGAGTAAGATGCAATTCACTGAAAAAAAGTATGTATATATCTAGGTATAATATGAAGTAGGATGAAATGTTTTAAAATAGAACCAAATGCTACAGGAGTAGAGTAGTTCAACTGAAGAGGAACGAGAGTAGGTAGCATTTTGACACCACGCTGGTCATCCACCCTCATTTTGGAAAACAAAGCACGGGGGGAGGTATAAACTTCTTTTTCAACAGTGCCAGGGGTGGAGAGGGAGCCTCAATCCAGATGGAATATTTATATTGAAGGGTTCCAAATAGACAGCATTCTTTTTTAAGAATTACCTAGCCTCAGAACAAGCAAATGCTCTGCTTTTATAAGGTACCCCTGGTACTTTGAAGAAATTACACACACTTTATTCAAAACTGACCAGTATTGCAGCATTTCAGGAGACTGGTGCCCTCCATGTGAGATGAAAGAGCTAGTGTCAATCACATAGCAGTAACTAAACTTATGCTGGACCACAGCGTTCCCTTCACTAAAAAGGATCCTCAAGCTACCCCAGAAGAGCTTGTTTACCTCTCGGTAATTCTCCATAAAAACCTAACTGCAGAAGACCCTTGCTTTTCAGGTACATTCGCCCACAGAATGAAGAGCAAGCAGAGCAGCTAATGCCAACTAAGCACTAAACCTAAGCGCCACATGTTTGACCTCATCATTCTGCTAATTTCCTCAATGCCTCTGTGAGGTGGGAAGTGTTATTGTCCTTTTTATTTTAGAGGAAATTCGGGCTCAGGCTCAGAGAAATTCAATAACCTGCCCAGGACCTATGATTCAGGTGGGGACTGGGAACATCTATGTCCCTCTACTGCCTCTGCAGGTCTGTGTAAAAATAGAAATTTGAAACTTAGATTCCCATATCAAGAGAAGATAATAATGTTGTAAGCCTTGTGCCTGGTATCTAAAACTACACATTATCTAATCTCAGGAAATGCTATACCACGAATGCTTGTTACAGGATCCAAACATAAACTGACTTTAACCCAACACCGACCAAATGGCTCACCTAAGATACCTGATACCTGAGAGAGTTTGTAATAGACATGGCACCTATTCATTCCTTTAGAATGTTTCAACTCTCTTACTGTATCAAGTTATATAATCAAAACACAAAAGAATACAGGTCCAGCAATCTCAGTTTCCCAAAAACATTCCCCAACAAAATGGTTACGAAAATCCAAATTCTCTACTTTTATAACAGGCTCATACACTATTTTTAAAACCACTCTTAAATATTGTTTACTATTACTCAATGTCCTTTGGAAAGACCCAGGTCATTACTTCTATTTTAGGCTTATTCCATGGAAAATGCTATCTCTGTAAATGAATTTTTATGCCTTCTCTTATCACATATTTTCATTTTCCCCCGTTATGCCGAAACACTTTGATCCAGTCTCACACATGGATGCACATGCTGTCTCTTTTAACGGGCCTGGTGACCTTTCTCTCTTCTTCCTTCTGTCTGTCTCATTTGGTATAACAAAACAGGTAAGCCACTCTAAGTCCTTTTGTGATCAGACAGGCCATCATACTCAATAGGGCTAAGAAGGCAGGACGTGCAATGCCCTGACCCACTGGTCTCCCTGTTCATCTCCTTCTCAAAGACCAGTGTGATACGGTAACTTACACTTCATTTTATAAGATGGGCAGAAACATTCCCTGTTGTCAGCTCTGCCTCAATGGGCCAGCTGGATGCACAAGGAAGCACAAAAGCTTCTCAATCAAGGTTTGCAACAACAGTAAAAAAAATGTTTGCATCACACACAAAACAGTAAAAAAATGATTGCATCACACACAAAGAAAATGTTTGAAGGAACTCCACATTTGCAAGGACGCTGGCAAAGAGAATTATACATAATCATGTATCTATGACAACTAGCCATCTCAGTGGCTCAGAATTATGCAGAGAAAACCAAGATGGGAAGGTGACTCAAAAGGATAAACAGCAGAAGCAAAAAGTCCAGGGTGTCACACCAGCAGCAAGTGAGACTCACTACACTACCACATTCTTGCATGCACAGTATCTGTTATACCTGTTCTCCTTTGGTCTTTTCTCAAAAAACAGCCATGTGAATTTCTTTCTGGTCACCCAAAAGGTTTAAGTGACTAAAAAAACCCAATATGAGCTGATTTGTTCCCTAAAGAAGCAACAATTGATGTCCCCAAAATGTGCTATTTCTCTGCTTCCCAGGACTTGAATAAAGCAAAATCTTTATTCAGAAAACAAGAACAGCCAGTCCCATACTTACATGTCGCTGCCTGGGTTAGGTTTGACCAAGTCCTCAGCTGGTAGGCAACACTCCATAATCTCATTAAAGCCTGCATTCCCAATATTCTTAGCAAGCTGCAAAAATAAAAGTCTATTTCAGGGTACTCAATTATTAATACATTCCACTGCTACACATTACTCATACATCTGATGATTTATTTAATGGCCACTAAGAAATAGAGCAATATAGTGGTTTGCCTTTAATGAAGATGGACAAAACCCAAAGCCCAAAGGTACCCATAAAATTAAAGATAAGAAGTGGTATGCCTATTAAAGAGGAGTGTTCTCATAAAATGCCTCCCGGATAGAGACAGAGAAGCAGTAACTTCGCCCAATATGAGTTTCCATCCTTATCCCTACACCTCCCAAAAACCTGTGCTCCAACTGAAATGGGTCTATTTCACATCCTTCAAAAAACCTCCATTTTTATGAGCTATGAGATGGCTCTGGTACAGTAGAAAAGGCACCAGGCCATGAAGCCAAGATTTGGGTTCAAATTATGGTTCCACGAGAGGTCATGTGACCACGGGCAAGTCAGTTTACCTGCGCATCACGTTTTCATCAGTAAAATGGATGACACTGACTGGGCTCATGGTAATTCCAGCACTTTGGGAAGCCGAGGTAAGAGGACTGCCTGAGCCCACAGGTTTGAGACCAGGCTGGGCAAATTGGTGAGACCTTGTCTCTATAATAAATCAAAAAATTAGCTGGACATGGTGGTGTGTGCCTGCAGTTCCAGCTACTTGGAAGGCCAAGGTGGAAGGATTGCTTGAGTCCAGCAGGTCGAGAATGTGGTGGCTGTAAGCTTGCCATTGTACTCCAGCCTGGGCAACATTAAGACTCCAACTCAAAAAAAAGAAAGGTATGACACCTAACTCAGGGTTGCAATAAAGATAAATGGGACCATTCAGGTAAAAACACTCAGTAAACTGAAGTAGTAAAAATGTAATGTATCAGCTCCAAGTTTGAGGTTTTAACTTATCAATCTTCTTACTAGTTGAATATTAAATTAACACATTCTAACTGAATGCTTACTGAATATCAGGTATTGTGCTTTATATACAGGTTGAGCATCACTAATATGAAAATCCAAAATCTGAAATGCTCCAAAATCCAGAATGTCTTAAGCACTGACATAAAGTTCAAAGGAAATGCTTATTGGAGCATTGTGAATTTTTGTCACTTTAAATGTAAGTAATTATAATGCAAATATTCCTAAATCCAAAGAAATCCAAAATTCGAAACATTTCTGGTCCCAAGCATTCTGGATAAATAATATTCAATTTGTAGCAGACACCAAGATAGATGTCATGATTTATGTTATACTACCTTGACAATATGGCCACTGACATTCCAATAAATGAATGAATGAATTAATTAATGACTAGGAGCTTTTGAAGAACAGGGATTTATTCAATTCATTCCCCACACCCAGCTCAGCATCTGACATCGAGGTCAGCTTCAGGTCAGATTCTTAAATGTTTAATTAAACAATACCAGAAGGGAACACCAAGCAAGTGCTTTGAGAGAACAGACATTTTAATTTCCATGTTGAAAATGATGTGTTGGGGAGTCAGTGCCATTTCTAATATCTTTACTCTCGATTAATTATGCAGGCAGAGGGTTGACAGAGACGCTCTGGGAGATGCTGCTGCTGCCTGAACGGTCTTGTCTATCTCCAGCAGGAAATGGCTTTAGGAGCAGCCAAAGGGATCTGGGTTAGATAAGGTGGAACTTCCTGGTGAAACATCACCACACAGTGAAGGGTGCAAAATGAATTTTTAAAATAAGACAAAAGAAATAAGTGATGATAAGCTTTTTCCTAATTTTACCCAGTCTTTGATAAATGAACAAAGCTTCCTAGACAGTCCAAAGCATCAAACACTAACCAATTCCACCTCTTGGCTCAGCCCTGGCTCTGGAGCCCCAAGCTATCATCAGGAGGCAAAACTCTAGATGCCATGTCGCAGTTTTTCCAGGAGCAAGCTAATGGTTAGTATGGCATACCACTTGAGGTGACACATATCTACATCCCATGAAGCTAATACCCTGTGAAGGATTTCTCAGGCAGTTGGTGTCAGCTCCAGTACTGAACCTCAGCATCAGAGGCCCTTGTTTACACATGCTCCAATGCCGCCCCATCTTACAATGTGCATGCTGTCCCCAGCTGAGCACAAGTGTCACCCAAAAGTGAGTGACAGAAGAAGCTTCATGCCCCACGTGAGCCAGGGACCATCCTGATGCCTCCTCAACTGTTAAGCAGATGAGGGTGGGAAGGTAGGAAGACAATTCCCCAGGAACCAGAAAGCTGCTTCTCTTCTGCTTGGGCTTGGCTGGTTTTCTAGGAGACAGCTGGTCCAGGGAGCCACTGCATCCATGCGTCATACTCCTCCAATGCTAGAGAAATGTGCCATCTCACATTTCTGCCAAATTCCAGTTTATGCTTCAGCTGCAGAGAACCCCTCTGGACCCATCAACAAAAGCAAAGCATTTACAGATGGAGGCCGCAGGGACACACCAAGAAAGTGTGGGTAGGCAGAAGCTGGGGGGCAGAGAGATGGGGTATCAACCTGAGCCCTGGCATCTAGCACTTTTCACTGTCACCCAGAAGGAATTTGAGGGCTGCGATAAAGCAGAAATAGAGCCAGCCTGGATGTAAGAGGAGAGAATGGAGTGTATAAGAACTATATCGCCTAAGGCAGCAAAGCGCAGTCGAGGCCTTTACCCTTCCTGCCGCCTCACAAGACCCTTGTCTGTGCTGGGCAAGGGGCATGAGACACCATCCTACTCCAAAGCAGCTTGGGTTGATGAGGCAGAGTTAAGTTATTAGACAGAAGAACAACATGAAGAGGGCTGGAAGAGAAGTTTGTCTTTAGCACTGTAGAGATAGCATCTCCAGGCCCAGATAAGCAGAGCAGTCCCTTGGCAAGGAAGACCTCTTTCCTTGGCACTCGCTTTGTGTGGGAATCATTTGTGTGTGGGCCAGTATACTTCCCTGATGACATACCCAGGACATGGAATCATACACTCTGTGTGCCCTTAACACTGGGTCAGGGTCTGCTGGGCCTCCAAGAGGCCTCAGGTTTTAACTAGAAACTGTTTTGAGAGTTTGGGGCAGAGCAGGGAGAAACCTCCTGCCCTCCTTTCATGCTTCCACATGAAGGGGCATCAATTACTGAGACAATCTCCTCCTTTCTCTATTTTGACTAACCCCAGGAGAGGACTGGGCAAGTGAGAGAAAGACTTCCCTGATGCTGCATTCAGGAGGAGAACTGGGGAAAGGTGAGGTGGGGGCTCCTCCCACTAGAGATAATACCATGGCTGGCTCCTCCAGACTACTCCTCCAGAAGGGTGGAAGGCTTAGAAAGTATTGTACACCCTTGAATTCAAAGGCTAAAAGCTCAGGTAAGGGAAGGGGCTTGATCAAATTGCTGCCTCCAAAACAGGGAGCGCAAGAGAATACTCTTGAGATTCAGGAAAAAAGTTTACATGTTATATTTTCACTTGAGCCTTTAAAAATCCAATTTTTCATACATTTTACAAAATACATAATATACACCTCAGTAAGTATAGGTATCATTATAGATTTCTGTTTTGGTGCTCAGTTTCTTCTGATAGGATTTGTAGTTAAAAATAGTTCAGAGATGTGATTTTTAAAAAACAACAGAACACAGGTTCTGGAGTCTGATAGCATGGAGCGTAAATCCTGGCTCAGTCACACTGGGCAAGTTTCTTAATCTCTCTGGCCTCATTTTTAAAATGGAGTTTTCATTTAGGTTAGCTAGAGCACCTACATAATGCCTGGAGCATAGCAGTCATTCAGTAAATGACAGCTGATAGTCAATTTTGTGTTGCTCTGAGCAATTGTTTTTAGTATCCAGAGTGGCTTAATTTAGTCCTGGGTGAATAACAGTTATAAGTGATACGTAAGTTCTTGGTCTTTGAGGAATTTCCTTCCACATACTCTCTCTTCCAGAACAGGCTATGAGTTGACCTGCTTTAATATGTGACATGTTATTAACAACCTCATGAAGACAGAAAAAGGAGAAAGTCAAGAAACAGAGAGCTGAGTCAGGAAATATTTGATAAGTTTCCTAATGCTTGCTCTTCAATTTGATGGAAGAGTTTTAAATTACTGACAAATTCAATTTAAGGATATCAAAATTGGCCGGACTCGGTGGCTCAGCCTATAATCAGCACTTTGGGAGGCCGAGGCAAGTGGATTGCCTGAGCCTGCGTGTTCGAGACCAGCCTGGGCAACTTGGGGAGACCTCGTCTCTACAATAAATCAAAAATTAGCCAGGCATGCACCTGTACTTGTGGTTACTTGGAAGGCTGAGGCAGAAGGATCGCCTAAGCCCAGTAGGTCGAGACTGCAGTGGCTGAGAGTGTGCCACTGCACTCCAGTCTGGGCAACGGAGTGCAAGTCCAACTAAAAAAAAAATAAAAATAAAAACTAATATCAAAATTTCCTTTATTAATTTGACTCATGACAGTGAAATTGATTGATACTAGTACCCTAGTGTCAATGATATTGTTTTTCGTATGACCTTAAAAAAATAAAATAAAATCTGTGCTGAAATTATGATCTTCTGTGTTGAGAAAATTGATCTTTTAAAAATCTATGTTTACCAGGTTTTCTGAAAACAGACTTGCTTTAACATATAAGAATTTTTTTTGAGTTGGAGTCTCACTCTGTCACCCAGGCTAGAATGCAGTGACATGCTCATGGCCACCCCAGCCTCAACCTGCTGGGCTTAAGCGATCCTTCCACCTCAACCTTCCAAGTAGCCGGATCTACAGGCATGCACTACCATGCCTGGCTAATTTTTTTGATTGATTGTAGAGATTAGGTCTCGCCAAGTTGCCCAGGTTGGTCTCGAACCCGTGGGCTCAGGCAATCCTCTCACCTCAACCTTCAAAAGTGCTGAGATTATAGGCATGAGCCACCACACCCAACCTAATGTAGTTTAAAACAAAACAAATTAAAAAGGAAATGGTAAAATAGACACAGCATACTATCCAGTGAAACTGTGCAAATTTGAGATCAGAAAATAATTTACAGAATTAAGCAGAAGACTCTTATGAGGAATAGAAGGAGGCCATATGGAGGGACAGGAGTGACATTTATGGGATATGTGTCTATTTAGGGACACAGTGCCAACAAATAATGAAAATGCAATCAAACCAGGTCCTGCTCATATACCTGCTTTTCAGGCCATTAAAAAACCCTTTCCCTACAGGCAACGAAGGCAAAGAGAGACAAATGAAATTTCATCAAACTAAAATATTTCCACAAAGCAAACAATCAACAGAGACAACCTACAGAATGGAAGAAAATGTTTGCAAATCCACATTTAATTAGGGGTTAATATACAAAATATATAAGAAACTCAAAACACTCAATATCAAGAAAACAACTCCACTTAAAAATGATCAAAGGACTTCCATGTACATTTCTCAAAGGAAGACACACAAATTGCTAACAGGAATATGATGAAATGTTCAACATCACTAATCATCAGGAAAATGCAAATTAAAACCACAATGAGGTATCACCTCACACCTGTTAGGATGACTTTTGACAAAAAAACAAAAGTGTTGATGAGAATGTGGAGAGAAGAGCGCCCTCGTACACTGTTGGAGGGAATGTAAATTAGTATAGCCCTTATGAAAAATGGTGTGAAGGTTTCTCAAAATCTAAGAATAGAACTACCATATGATCCAGCAATCTCACTTTTGGGTATTTACCCAAAAGATCCGAAATCCACTTGTTGATGACATGTCTATAACCCCTTGTTCACTGTGACATTATTCACAATAGTCAAGATAGAAAATCAGCCTAAAAACCTATCAATAAATGAATGGATAAAGAAAATGTGATATATATCCACAATACTATTTGGCCTTAAAAAAGAAAATGCTGTCGTTTGTGGCAACATGAATGAACCTGGACAATATTATGCTAAGTGAAATGAGCCAGGCTCAGAAACACAAGTATTGCATGATCTCACTTACATGACAATCTAAATACGTCAAACTCATAGAAGCAGAGAGTACAATGGTGGTTGTGAGGGATATGTAGGTTAAAGGATACACAATTTCAGTTAGCCAGGATGAATACATTCTGGAGATACAATGTACAACATGAGAATAATAGTTAATAACAATATATTTATTGTATATTTGAAAGTTGCTGAGAGAGTAGATTTTAAGAGTTCTCTCTACAAAAAAATGATAAGCATGTGAGGTGATAGATATCAACTAGCTTGATTCAATCATTCCACAGTGTATACAATATACCAAAATATCACACCGTGTATCATAAATACAAATAAAGAAAAAACAGATAAACAAAATCCCTTTCCTGCACTGCATGTCACCTTGAGATGTGGGATGTCCTGCTATTTATCCAAGAGATGAAAGACAGTACTGCTGTGAGACAACTTTCCCAGAATGCACCCATAGGTCTCCTTTCCTAGGGTACCTAGAGGTCTCATCAACGTTTGCTGCACAGGAAAAGGGACTACAACGAACAAGTCAACCAAAGTCCCTGGCAGAGAGGTTCATAAGCAGAGCAGACAACCAGTGTAGACCTTGTGAGGTTCCCCTTGGTTTCACGTGTTAGGACACACAACTCATTTTTCTGAAAGGATTTTGTTAAAATCATCTTGGAGGAAGATATAATAACAATAGCTACTTATTTATAGTTCTTACTTTGTGTCAGACATGATTCTAAATACATAAACATACACACAGAGAAAGACAGATTCAGGAAATTCTTCGTTCAGACATCTGGTTGTCTAAGCAAAATAAGATAAACAACTTGGATGGCTTCAAAAAGGCTTAAAATGTCTATGCTTTACAAACAAATATTAACACCTGACACTCGTCATCTACTGTTTAATAGAAGGACCCAGGAATAAGGTTTCAGTACATTCCTAGTACACAATAAAATGGGATAGTGGTAGAATTGGGGAGATATACACCTCCTGTGAGTTGCAAAGGTCCAGTCAGAATTCAGGGTTCAGGGCAAGTAGAGTTGTGGAGGAAGGGATAAATCCTACACAATACACTACCTTCTCTCCTTTTGCTTTCTGATATTACTGAGGAAAAAAGTTTAGATAAAGGAGAATTTAAAACTGGGGCAGAAAAACTCAGGTCTGAAAATATCTGCAGATATTAATTAAGCAAGCTCTGCTTGATTTCTCATCATAGTTGGGAGTTGACCAAACTTTAAACTTCTATGACAATGCAGACAGGGGCTCTGAAGACAGAAACTGAGATCTGAGTCAGACCTTAGAAGTCACTTCATCGTGTCATCAAGATGAAAACAGTGCATTCCTTTCAATCTTCTTTGGTGTTTTCCTCTTTAGTAGGCAATAGACTCTCATGAAGATCATTAGTTAAATTTTGAGACATATTTAAACAGTTATAACATATGGTAGGGTCAGGCTCCTAACAGCTCAGGAGCACCAATTGTTAAAATTTCAGGAATTTTGTAAGCCAACTGTTAAACACTACTGCTATTAAAAATTATACTATATAAACACTATATAGTTCAATATATTATATTAAAAACTAAGGAGTTGGATACTCAAAACTCAACACTTTCTTATTACTTTACTAAATTTTACTATTAGCTATGACCTTGAAGTTTATTTACATGCATTATATTTGTATGACGAACACACAATATAATGGTGTGCTATCAAACATTTCTTTCCAACTTCACATTCAGTAATTCGTATGGGTAGCTTGAAACTGGCCATGGTGGGCACATTTACACCATGAGAATAGACACACTGCAAACTAGGGTTCTTTCTCCCCCAGAATTGGTTGTTAAACATTTGTTGGGGGATGAGCAACAGGGAGGGACAGTAGTGATTAAATGTTTACCAAATGGTAAGACAACCCACCACAAATGCCAGTTTTGTCCCAGTCTCCTTAAAGGTTAAGAGTGTAAGGTCTGAATCAGGTTAAAGGGGCCTTCATCCCAGATATGCCATCTTAATAGCTACACAATCCTGGGCATATTAAAACATTCTAAGCCTCATTTTCCTCCTTTGTAAGGTAGAAACAATATCAAGGACACTCGGGTGTTGTAAAGATCAAATGAGCCTAATACATATAAAGTGGTTTGCAAAGTGCCTAGCACAAAATAAGCAATTATTATTTCATCATAAATCACTTAACAGTTGCCATGGTTTTAAGAAAATCAGTAAAAATAGCAACTGCCATATTTCACTAGTGTTTACTAAAAAGTAATTTGTGCTTCTTTGAAAATATACTGTGACAATTTCAAAGCTATCATTAATTACCCTAGAGATACCACATGTACACATATGCACCTCTTAAGATGTAGGTTACATGTGTCATTATATTAACAACTACAGTACATAACCAAGAATGCATTGCCGGGGGCGGGAGGTTCGCTGGATCTAGCTTAGCTTGAAGCACCTAGGGATGCTACTATGAGGGCTGCCAGGATGTACTTTAGGTTCTCCCAACTCTGCCTTTTGGGACCAAAGAGGAATTCCTTGGAAAGATTGGAAGGGCTTGACAAGAGCATTCAATCAAACGCACAGGATCCAGAGATGTCATCAGTAAGATTGATGGTCCCTTGAGAGAAATATGGACCATGATAATTGATTTCCTTTTAAGAACATTGCTCTTAACATAAAATTCTCTAGATATAACTTTTAAATTCAACATTACAATCAATGGTAATCAATATCCACTTACTATTTATTGTCAACATCTCAGGAAAGAATTTTAATCACTGCTTTCTAACAAGCAGTTATGAACTTTGAAGACAGTCCATAAAAGCTCAAGTCTTGGGTGGCTAGAATCGTAACCTAAGTCTAATATACCTTTGTGGGGCCACAGTTTCAACACTGTGAAAGCTACTTCACAGAAAATGCTTCCATCTCCTCACATCTCCATCACATGGCTTATGTGTTATCAGTGAACAAAAAATAAAAGACTTTTTTCAGAAACAAAAGCAGTAAAAACAAAGACCGATATCTCTCCCAAGGGGAACAATCTGTCCCTTGGAGGCTTGAAACAAGTAGTGACCACAGTCTTGTCAGACACCACTTGGTGATGGAGGGAGAATGCATCCCTTCCTGGCTCTAGGCTTTGGGTTCTGCATCTGTCCAATAAATGGCATGAACTGCATGATGCCACCATCTGGTTCCACCTCAGCAAATTCTTGCACCAGTCTCAATGCTCCTTTTTTGGTTTTACTTCCCTTTATTCATTTAAGAATAAAGTTTTACAACAAGAAAGTCCCTCAACTTCTATTCACTGGACATGAGAAGTTATCAATGAGTTTCTAATTAGTCAAAGCTATTTGACAACCTATCAACAACCACCAGCCCACTAAAATTTTAAGAAACCAAAATGAATTAGAATGCCAACATTAAAACTTAACTTCCAGTTCATTTATTGCCAATCTAAACTCGAGGATTTAAAAATTACCAGTAGCTCAGATGTTCCCAATACATCTAAGGTCAGGGACTGCATCCTGGAGTAATGAACCCCCAGCTCTCGGTGGATTCCGGAGCACTCGATGCAGGTCAGGATGCCCAGGTTGGTGGAAAGCCATGTAGGATCTGCCAAAGAAAACAGGCAAACATGAGCTTGCAGCAAAAAGTGGGTCAGGAGTCAGAGCTTTCTTCTTGCATAGTTACTGAATGTAGGGTTTTGTACATGAGCATTTTCTGATCCTAGACATAGCTGGAACCCTCTTTCATGCATAATTACCACCAATCTACACACAGTTCACATAACTGCACATGCCTATTCTTCCTCCTCTTCCCTCTCCCTCCACTTCCCCATCCTTTCACTCATCTAAGTGACAGGTGCAATACATACAAAAATAAATAGGACACAGTATACTCCAATGATCATGGACTCCTCAAGGGCTGGTCCTGAGAACAGACCACCTCCCCATCACCAACCGAGTAATACCAGCAGAGTGGAAGAAGAGTAAAAACTGAGAACAGCCAAAGTCTAGTGCTATAAAAGAAACCAGGCTTAATACATACATGTCTATAGTTGTCAATAATAACAGAGAATATATGCTACGTGCATATGATATGCTGTGTTTACCACTTTGGTAGTAGCAATGAAAGTTTACATCATAGAGCTTCATTCAAAGGAAATCACAGAACACATGTATATTACATCTCACCTAATGCACACAAGAGATGACCAAGGTAAAGATTCATATCTCATTATACAGTTGAGACTGCTTTGCAATGCTCAGATTCCAGGTTGTGAGTGCAAAGTAGACTGTAGCCCTGCCATTACCTGAGTTAAAAGCCACACTTTTCCCTCACAGCATGTTTACCTACTAAAGTACCCTCCCATGGCTTAGTACACAGTAGGGATCCACTAGATGCCTGGTAGAGGAATGCTGAATTTATCAAACATGGGAAATGAAAAATAAGACATACTCGAGGACATTACCACAGCCTGTAAGTATAATTCTTCTCAGAACTATTTTTTGCCCTTACAAATTCAAAGCAGGGCCAGGCACGGTGGCCCATGCCTATAATCCCTGCACTTTGGAAGGCCGAGGTGAGAGGATAGCCTGATCCCACGGGTTCGAGACCAGCCTGAGCAACTTGGTGAAACCTCATATCTACGATAAATCAAAAAATCAGCCAGGCATGGTGGTGCATGCCTGTAGTTCCAGCTACTTGAAGGCTGAAGCGGAAAGACTGCCTGAGTCCAGTAGGTGGAGGCTGTAGTGGCAGGGAGTATGCCACTGCCCTCCAGCCTGAGCGACAGAGTGAGTCTCCAACTCAAAAAACAAAAACAAAAACTAAAACTAAAAGAACTCAAAGCAGGTAAATATTGCAACCTTGATCACTAGATAATCACAAAGTTATTTTTTAAATGTTCAAGTTATAAGAAATTTTATTAAGCCAGGCACAGTGGCTTCACGCCTATGATCCCAGCAAGTTGGAAGGTCAAGGTGAGAGGATTGCCTGAGTTTGAGACCAACCTCGGCAACTTGGCAAGACCTTATCTCTACAATAAATCAAAAAATTACCCGGGCATGGTGGAGCACGCCTGTTGTCCCAGCTACTTGGAAGTCTGAAGTGGAAGAATTGCCTGAGCCCAGCAGGTAGAGGCTGCAGTGGCTGTGAGCATGCCACTGCACTCCAGCCTGGGCGACAGAGTGAGACTCCAACTCAAAAGATAAAAAAAAAATTTTTTTTAAACGTTATTAGTATTAGAAAACTTTCTGGGCATCTGTGTTTGCACTTGTCTGAGACTACTGTACTATTGTGCTGTAGGGAGGTACAGGTGTCTGTTTAGGTGACTTTTTATCAGTTTTATACCACTCATATTACATTAGCATTTTAAAACAACAAAGTACATAGCTTCAAGTTCTTTTTTCTTTTCTTTCTAAAAATTTTTTTATTTTTGAGTTGCAGTTTCACTCTGTCACTCAGACTGGAGTGCAGTGGCCACTTCCGGCCACCGCAGCCTCGACCTGCTGGGCTTCAGCAATCCTTCCGCCTCAGTCTTCCAAGTAGCTGGAACTACAGGTGCGCACTACCACACCCGGCTATGTTTTTGATTTATTGTAGAGATGAGGTCTTGCCAAGTTGCCCAGGCGGGTCTCGAACCCGCGGGCTCAGGCAATCCACTCACCACAGCCTCCCAAAGTGCTGGGATTACAGGCTGAGCCACCGAGCCCGGCTAAGTTCTTTTTTCTTTTTTGAGGCAGAGTCTCACTGTCGCTCAGGTTGGAGTGCAGTGGCTCGCTCACGGCCACCCCAGCATTGACCTGCTGTACTGGGTGATCTTTCCATCTCAGCCTTCCAAGTAGCTGGAACCACAGGCATGCACCACCACACCTGGCTAATTTTTTTATTTACTGTAGAGACAAGGCTTCACCAAGTTTCCCAGGCTGGTCTTAAACCCCTGAGCTCAGGTAATCCTCTTGCCTCTGCCTCCCAAAGTGCTGGGATTACAGGCAAAAGCCACCACACCTAGCCTATGAAAGTATTTTAAGTCCTGCACTGTCCTTACCTTTTCTCAAGGAGCACGATTTACTCACTTTTCACTCCCTAGCTCATCATCTGTCAAAAAGGTGTATTTTTAAATGGATCTGAGACTAAATACCAGGGGGAAGGGGGAAAGAGGGCAAAACACCAGAATGTATTAATAAAAAGTAGTGCATTAATTCTTACATGTTTAAACTTCAGTCACTTTCAAAGCACTCTCCATTTGATGCAATACACCTACTACAATGCTTTTTCCACTGCGCAAATCAGTTTTTGAACTTGTCAATTTTGATGCCTTTTAGTGCTTCCACTATTTTTGTCTGACTTCTTCCACATTAGCAAAACATTTCACTTTGAAGACTTTTTTCATCCAGGGAAACAAAAAAAGTCACTTGTTGCAAGACTGGGTGACTAGAGAGGGACATGTGGGTCATGTGTTTTTGGTCAAAAACTACTGAACAAAATTTTACTGTTGCACATTGTTCATGTAAATCACCCATCATGAAGTGGGCAAACACGCTGAAAGACTCTCCAAAAAAAATAAAATTTTACTGAGGACAAACGCAGTCTCTCACAAGGCTAGCTGTTACACTGATGCCAATGAGTTCCTAGAACACTGACCTAGCAGGGGAAGCCTGTACTACAAGGGACCCACCCTCCAAAAGAACAGTTTCAGCTTTTTTAGGGTCCTCCCACGCTATATAGACTTCAGGGAGCACTTATCAACTGTCCACACTATTTTCGTTATGTTAGTTTTTTATAAAGCTTGTCAGAATTAGAGGAATGAAAAGATAACTGACAATTCTAGTCAAGTCTTAGTCTTCACATGTTATGTTCAGAAATGGTGCCTACGTAGCTCCCCTGAGCCCCCAACTCCATTCCATTTTAATTAGAATATGTTAACTCTTAAACTTCAAAAATGTTAGTTGCTTAAAATCGACAGTGATACTACATATCCATTAGAGATGAAGCCCCTGAGCTGACACAATGACTCGTACTTGTAATTCTAGTACTTTGGAAGGCTAAGGCAGGAGGATTACTTGAGGCTAAAAGTTCAAGGTTTCACTGAACCATGGCCACACCACTGTACACCAGCCTGGGCAACAGAGTGAGACCTTGCTTCTATGTTTTAAAAAATGAAGCCCCAAGCCGGGCTCAGTGGCTCAGCCTGTAATCCCGCACCTTCGGGAGGATGAGGTGAGTGGATTGCCTGAGCCCGCGGGTTCGAGACCCGCCTGGGCAACTTGGCAAGACCTCATCTCTACAATGAGTCAAAAATTAGCCGGGTGTAGTAGCGCACACCTGTAGTTCCAGTTACTTGGAAGGCTGAGGTGGAAGGATCACCGGAGCCCAGCAGGTCGAGGCTGCAGTGGCTGGGAGCGGCCACTGCACTCCAGTCTGGGCGACAGAGTGAGACTCCAACTCAAAAAAAAAAAAAAAAAAGAAGTCCCTAAAATGCTTTGTATCAAAGTGTAAAAATAAACATCTTCTTTCACAAAATGTGACTGCTGTAAGGGACCCGTTCCTTCCCTGTGCAGATAGGAAAACTGATATTTAACAAAATGGCTCTTCCAGGGCACAAGCCAGACAGCAGCTCACAGTAACTTCAGAAGTTCTACAGAGTAGGACAGAGAGAATGGAGCAAGTCCCAGGCAAAGAAGCCTGTATACATGTAGACTCTTCAAGCTGACACGATGGACAGGTGACCCTGATTTCACCCCCACTGTGCACTTCAGTTTTCATTTCTCAAAAAGCATTTACATCTTTTCAGTTGCATCAGGTTATCTTTACTTGTTCCTGCTCTGGGGCCTGGCAGGCAAGCATCTTCCCACCCTCTCTCCTGTCGAGGTCTGCACACAGTTCATTAAGCATTTGTGTAATGGGATGAACTCAGGCTGAGCTGCACTTAATTTCATGTTTGAAATGAAAGTGAAAATCAATGAATGGATTCTGTGAATTGGAATGGGATTTAAATGTCCTTGAGCCTGGGGTGGCATAGGGGTCCCCAGTCACCTGGCGCCCCGCAGTCACAGCACACATCATTGCCTGTCATCCGTTGAACTTCTGAGATGATCTCCTTTGTCAGTTCCTGGACTATGTTATTTTCTCCAGTGTTGTCATCCCCCTTGAATGCATTGTTTAAAGCTTCTTCTTTGCTGTTCTGCAGCACAGACATCCATCTAGAAAATTAAGAGTGATGCTGTGTTAAATCCCAAGAACAGCAGCTAAGTCCAGCCCAAAGTCCCACCTCCAAGGAACTTACATTTGACATTCCTGTTCATCTTCTGCTTGAAAGTGGTACGTCCTGTCATCTGCACGGCAAGAGGAATTTCATCAATTGTGAGCTCAGACAGCAACCCATACGCAATCCCCCCAAAAAGTGGTTTCCAATTAACCTTAGGAATAATCTTAGCTCTTCACTAGGAAATTAATGATTTGTATAAAATCAAGTACTCTCTCATATCCTTCAAATGTCTGCCCTCATTCAGTAATAATGGCTTTGTAATGCAAATTAATATATCTGCCCTATTCTTCCCTGCAAGTCTAAAAAGATGCAGTTTCCACAAACTAAAGCTATCCAAGGAAAACCATCACTAGCCTCTGAAAAGCTGTATTTTTTATTAACTCACTGCAGAGTTGGTCCCCAAAATGAAATTGTTAAAGCCCTTTGAATAATAAAACCCTGTTCTAAAGAGAATAAATATCTCATAAGTTTTCTGGCTTTCTTAGAAAAAGATTAGTATAAGAAATTCTAAGAATAACATGCTCCAGGAGTCAACTATTACAAATACAGCTAAAGCGAGAGGAGAATGTTAAATAATGACTGAATTTAAAATCCTACATACACATACAGCTGGCGTCAGCAATGTTTTACATGTATTTTGCCAGGCTGCTGACCCCTGTGTGTGCACATGCAGTGGGGTGTGATGTGACCATATCATTTCCGTGCTGGTCTTGCCAAAACACATTAACTCAGTCCAGTCATGAAACCACACCAGAAATATCTGAGTTGAGGGACATCTAACCAAAACACAGGTCAATACTCTTTAAAAAGTATCATAAAACATAAGGGAAGACTACAGAACAGATGTAAATGGCAGGAGACCAAAATTAAATAACTAAATGCAATGTGGGGTCCTGAAGGGAATCCTGGAGCAGCAAAAAGGACATTAGGGAAAATGTGTTAAATATGAGTATGACTTTTGTTAATAACATTAAGCCTATGTTAATTTTGTGGTTTTGACAAATGCATATGGTTAATATGTGCCATGTACTAATTTATAATTGTACTAAGATGTGAACACAAGAGTAAACTAGATGAAAGACATGTGGATAGTCTGTCTCCACTCAGTCCAAAGACAAAAGTAAAAAAGAAAATTAAATTGAAAAGATGAGAACAAAGGGAGGAGATCCAGTTTCTGCACATGGCAGAGTGGTGACAAGCAGTGGCTCTGCTCTTGGGGAAACACAATGAACATCTGTGCCCCTAAAAGACACACCACATCCAAGTAGTGGGCTTTCCTCCTGAAAGGCTTTGATTCTTAGAACAACTTTTGGTGAGTTGACTGTATGGAAGCTGAAGCCCAGAGAGGTTAAGCGGCAAGAACAAGCTTAGCCAGTGGTCCCAACCCTCTTTCTACTATACATGTCATCTTTTTTTTTTTTTTTTACACCAGGGGGAGTAGAACAACAGTCTCCCTTCCTACTATTACTGGAAGAAGACAAAGTTTTTTTTGTTTGTTTGTTTGTTTTTATTTTTTGAGTTGGAGTTTCACTCCGTCGCCCAGACTGGAGTGCAGTGGCCGCTCCCGGCCACCGCAGCCTCAACCCAGTAGGCTCTGGCGATCCTTCCACCTCAGCCTTCCGAGTAGCTGGAATTACAGGCGCGCGCTACCACGCCCGGATGATTTTTTATTTATTGTAGAGATGCGGTCTCGCTGCCCAGGCGGGTCTCGAACCCACGGGCTCAGGCAATCCACTCACCTCAGCCTCCCAAAGGCGCGGGATTACAGGCTGAGCCACCGAGCCCGGCTAGAAGACAAAGTTTAAGAGCACTGTTCAAGCTCAGAAAAAAGAACGTGGTTTTGTGATTCAATTGTTAGTGGCTGAGCCAGGTTGAAATGCTGAGAGAGGAGCAAGGCCACTGCCCCTTGCTCTCAATAAATGACCTTACGTGGACAGCGTTATCTGGAGAGGGGTCAGGAAGAGCAGATCCCCAACTCAAGCCCTACTGGGGACCCCAGGTGGTTTGCTAAGTGGACCTCAGAGATCCTGGGGGAGCTGTCACAGTGGCAGGCATTGCTAGCACACAGTATCTAACACTGGGCTACTTCATGGCCAGATGAGGCAAAGCACAGGAAAGAAATTGGGGAGCAGCTCATTTCATCTGGCTAATTCTGTGTTCTTATGTGTAAAAATTGGAGGAGCAGGAGGCAAATCTCTGCGAAAAACTCCAAAGAAGCAGCTCTTCCATTACAGACTCTCCCTCACGCTGCCAATAAACAAAAGAACAGCTTCTAACAGCTTCAACTATAAGGGAAAAGGAAAGAGGAGATGGTGGAGATGATCAGAACTCTCATGTGCTGGTGGCCTGGGAAGGGTTGCTTCTGGCCAGAGCTCTGTCTCCGGCTGGTCTCTGACCTGCTGTATGGACCTACCAAGTCAACAATTTCCTCTGGCGCCATCCTACTCAGGGGACTAATCTGATCACCTCATAATTCTGTTCCTTCCACCCCACCCAGCGTGCCTATGGGATTCAGGGATAATGGCTCAGATTCTGAATTTGCTATGTGTGGGGTCAGTCTGAGGGAGACGGATTAGAAAAGCTCCCAGAAAGGCTGGCTTTTCCACAGAAATGTCTTCCTTGAGAAGCCCACGCCCATTTACATCTTGATCAGAATGGGAAATCCCTGTTTGGGGGAAAGGACGGTGAAAGAGGATCTTGCAGGAGAGACAGCTGATGCCAGAGTCCACTACTCCTCTGTGTTCTCTGGTTAGATTCCAAGATGGCTTAACCAGGTAAGGATGAGGAAGGAGAATTTATGGGCAGCCCAGGATACCCATACCTGAAATATCATTCTCAATGCCCACCGTGTGGCTCAACTTTGATTTCCCAGCTACCCAAATGTCTTGAGAGGTCAAAGACATCTTGGTGAGTCTCATCCCACCAGTCTAGTCAGGAAGTGGAGGAAGAATCCGAGAGGGGTAAAAACAGTCGTTCCTGAGTCAGGCAGAATTGGGTCTTGACCCCAAGTCCTCCACCTTCCCAGGATGTTTATCCATCTAGGGCTTTCACTGCTGTGCAATGTTCCCTTGATGAATCTCTGGTCTGGCTTTCAAGTATCTTGCAACAACTCAAACATACACAGCACTGTACAAAGCATTTTCACTACAGGTACTCCTAGCAAGAAAGTACCTTTTGAACACCAGCCAAAGATGAAGAATTTGTAGGACAAGCAGGAAAGAATAAGGGATGACGAGGGCTCTTCTCAAAGATGACAATGGACTCTGGCAAACTGACAATAGTGCCTTCAAGCAGGCTCAGTGAGGCCTTTCGGATGTACCAGGATAAAAGTCCTTTCTGAAGATGTTTATTATATGTCAGACTACAGCAAAAACACTAACAGGATCTTGGCTAATGTCAGTTTGTCACAGTGCTCATGTGTAACCAGATTTACAGAGGATCACCCTTATGAGTAAGGAATGCAATATAGTTCATGCCTGGTAGGGAATTATGCACACTTACCATCTACCAATCCCCACTGGTGCCTGATGTGTTATTAAAAATGTGTAGGCTCGGAGACAGATTAGAAAAGCTTCCAGAAGGGCTGGCTTTTCCACAAAAATGTCCTCCTTGAGAAGCCCATGCCCATTTACATCTTGATCAGAACGGGTCAGGCACTCCCACTGATGCCTGATGTGTTATTAAAAATGGTCGGGCTCGGTGGCTCAGCCTGTAATCCCAGCACTTTGAGAGACCGAGGCGAGTGGATTGCCTGAGCCCATGAGTTCAAGACCAGCCCGGGCAACTTGGCGAGACCTCATCTCTACAATAAATTTTAAAAATTAGCCAGGCATGGTAGCACGAGCCTGTAGTTCCAGCTACTTGGAAGGCTGAGGCAGAAGAATCATTGAGCAGGTGCTTCTGCACATATGTTGTCTAGCTGAGCCTTCTACAGGGGATGCTGGAGAACCCTGGGGATAGCTAAAAGAAGTCCTTACACTCACCTCCATGTGGTCAGTTTATTATTACATGCTAATCAGTACTGAAGGGCACTGTTACTATTAGGGTAATACATGGCTATCAGTTGGGTCACCAGTTCAGAAAATGAAAAGGCCTAAACTCCTCTAAGTCTGCTCCAGTCACTGACAGACATCACATCACACCATAAAGCTTTCTCCCCCCTCCTTTTTTTTTTTTTTTTGAGTTGGAGTCTCACTCTTCCGCCTAGGCTGGAGTGCAGTGGCGTGCTCATGGCCACCACAGCCTCAACCTGCTGGGCTCAGGCGATCCTTCTGCCTCAGGCTTACAAATAGCTGTAACTACAGGCACACTACCACGCCTGGCTTATTTTTTTATTTATTATGAAGACAAGGTCTCACCAAGTTGCCCAGGTTGGTCTTGAACCCATGAGCTCAGGCAATCCTCTTGCCTCGGCCTCCCAAAATACTGAGATTATAGGCTTGAGCCAACATGCCCAACTAGCTTTAACTCAAGTTTTTCCTCCTATCTAGAGGTAGGTAACCCAGTAGTGATCACATTGTTTTTTGTTTGTTGAGCTGGGGTCTCATTGTCACCCAGGCTAGATCACGTGTCATGATCACGGTTCATGACAGCCTCGACTGCCTGGACTCAGGAGATCCTTCCACCTCAGCTTCCCAAGTAGCTGGGACTACAGCCACGCATCACTAACTTGTCTACTTTTTTTACTTTTTTTGGTAGAGACGAAGTTTCACTATGTTGCCCAGGCTGGTCTTGAACTCCTGGGCTCAAGCAATCTGCCAGCTTTGGCCGCCCAAGGTACTAGGATTACAGGCATAAGTCATCACACCCAGTCCTGCATCTTTTTTTTTTTTTCTAAAGATAGGGGGTTGCACAGGTTGGACTCAAATTCCTGGGCTCAAGATATCCTTGTGCCTCAACCTCCTGAGTAGCTGGGACTACAGACATGGGCCACCATGCCTGGCTTAGGATCACAGTTTAAACTATGATCAGTGCTCAGCATTTTATCACATCTTGTATGAATGAAGGGCAAGCTATGATGAAAAGGGATAAATGAATTTGTGAACCTTACTAAACTGAATGGGGATGGAAGTTCAATAATGGTAAGTCAATTTTCATTTTACAAATCAGCCTAAAGTCTAAAAAACAGAACAAACAGTATCCGGATCCTCTCTACACATCACAATGCTCAATCTGCTCTACAGCCTAACACAGAGTATGTGAGAAGTGGAAATGGGAAGAGGATGGGTGTAAGCCACTGCAGGCAAAGCGGTGATAGCAATTACTGCGAAATTTTGCTGGGACCACAAAAATCATATAATAAATGACTTCTCAGCCCTCAGTAATACAGGTCAACAGACATTTCAAAAGGTAGCTGTCTCCTGTTTGGGAGTACTGAGACACAGTATTATGCTGCATAATTCAGTGTTTTTCACTACAAATATAAATCTTATGTCCAAACCTCTAGTGATTGTGTCTTCAAAGGGGAGACTGGCCCTTTCTTCCCCTAAACTGTAGCCCTGCCACGTGGAAAACTACCAAGGACAAAAAGTTTATCTTATTTTCTTTTGGATATTATAATAAGCCCATTTCTTTTTTTAAGGGGCACTGAGCAAACATTCACCACAACATTTGGCACCATAGTGATTCTTTTATGAATGCCACACCAAAAAAGAAAAGAAAAGCATACAGAAGCAGAAAGACTAATTCTGTGATGAGGAAGATAAAACAAGTTTTTTTTTTTTTAAATTTTTAAGTCGGAGTCTCACTCTGTCATCCAGGCTGGAGCGCAGTGGCACGCTCACAGCCACCCCAGCGTCAACCTGCTGGGCTCAGGCGATCCTTCCATTCTCAGCCTTCCAAGTAGCTGGAACTACAGTCAGGAGCCACCATGCTCAGCTAATTTTTTGGCTTATTGTAGAGATGAGGTCTTGCTATATTGCCCAGGCTGGTCTTGTACCTGTGGGCTCAGGCAATTCTCTCACCTCTGCCTCCCAAAGTGCTGGGATTACAGGTGTGAGCCACTGTGCCCAGCTTTTTTTTTTTTTTTTAAGTCAAAGTCTCACTCTGTCATCCAGACCAGAGTGCAGTGGCATGCTCATGGCTCACTGGAGCCTCGACATCCTGGACTCAGGTGATCCTTTTGCTTCATCCTCCTGAGTAGCTGGGACTACAGGTACATGCCACAACACCTGGCTAATTTTTTTTGTTTTTTGTGGATATAAGGTCTCATTATGTTACTCAGTCTGTTCTTGAACCCCTGGGCTCAAGCAATCCTCTGGTCTCAGCCTCCCAAAGTGCTAGGATTACAAGCGTGAGTCACCGTGCCCAACAGATAAAACAATTTCAAAAACTAAAATGTTCAGGACTCTACTGAAGACCTTGTCACTTTAGATTTATAGCATTTCTAATACCACATAAATTATGTAAGTTTTTGAAAACAGAATTGTCCTTTTTTTTTTTCTTTTTAAAGTGAAGGAATTTTAGGCTTGAGGGCTTATCATGTGTAATCTCCTTGTTTACAAATAGGAAAGCTGAGGTTCAGAGAGCTGAGACAATGTCTTGTGGTTTACAAAGTCCGTAAAGAGCAGGGCCAGTCCTCAAAGTCAAATTCTCAACTGGAGACACGGGCAAGTCAACGATGACTAATGGAACACAAAGCAAGTGTGTCACTTGGAAAAAGAGTTTCTTTTCAAAAACCAATTCTTCAAAATGCAGTGCTTCAAATGGGATTGATGCCCTAGAAGAAAGTTTAAAATAATTTCTCAATGGTACAGCATCTCAGAAAGAGCCTTACGTGAAATAAGGTCAAAACACTTTTTCTCCTCGGGGTTGGTCTTCACTTGGCAGGTTAACAGGTTGAGCTTTGCAGGAGGCCGGTTAGCCTGTTTAAAAGCAAAAAACAAAAACAAAAATGGTTGGGTGGGAAGGAATAGAAAATTATACAGTATCATTCCTCATGAAGATACAGCAAGAGCAGGTTTTTTACTAGTTTGCAAAGATAGCTTTCAGAAGGCAGATTTTTAGCATGAAGGTATGACATGGGCACATTATGAAGTGTCCTTGAAACTTGGCTCCACAGGAGGGCATCTGCCTCCCTGCAAAGGCACATTCGTTGGTTTGCACAAACCCACTTGGACAAGGGGACCAGCAATGCCAACTCTGAGGCTGCTGGCAGTGGACTCCCAGAGATCAAGATGCTCCATGGCTAAAGCCCCAAAGCATTTGGTTCCGATTCCTACTGATGACACAGATGGCTTGCAGGGTAACATGGGCACACAGCTCAATTTCTGGTGATATAAAAAAGTATTTTGCTAAGCATAAACTTCACTTCAGAGAAACAAACTTTGCTAAGCATAAACTTCATGGCAGAGAAATAACTGTCCCTACTGTCTGAAGTAATGACAGATAATAGATTCATATCCCTAGATGCCAATCTTCACTGTGACTTAAGTTTCAACAAAGCACACTTCATTCATATATGTAACTCTCACACCCACCCCCACACAAAGCAAGAGATCACAACACACTTGTCACAGGTATGCTAAAAATGACTATTTTACTGAAACTTCAAAATAGAACAACAACAACAACAAAACGCATACTTATTCCAAGAAAGCAAAGGGCAAAGGATAAGAAGATAATTTTAGATACAAGAATTCTGAATGGAAAAATGCATGACAGAAATCTTGGTGTATTCTCCAAATATAAATGGGCTAATCTTACCCACCTACCAAGCTGCTAAAGGAAAGCTCAAATAAGAATGTCTTAAACTTTTCAATTGTTCTTGTGCCTGACTTCCCTTGGCTACCAGTTGCTTTAAGATAAAAAGCTCAGCCTGTAATCCTGTGCCTTTGGGAGGCTGAGGTGAGTGGATTGCCTAAGCCCGCAGATTCGAGACTGGCCTGAGCAACTTGGCAAGACCTCATCTCTACAAAAAAAAAAAAAAAAATCAGCCAGGCGTGGTAGCGCATGCCTGTAATTCCCGCTATTCCAGCAGATCGCCGGAGCCCAGCAGGTCAAGGTTGTGGTGGCAGGGAGCGGCCACTGCACTCTAGTCTGGGCAACAGAGTGAGACTCCAACTCAAAAAAAAAAAAAAAAAAGATAAAAAACTTGGGTTTAGGATTAACCAAGATACATATACATCCATACATGAGATCCACATACATTCACAGACCCAGCAGGTTCTTTTCCCTAAGTCTATAGAGGTGGTCCAGGGGTGTGGAAGATAATCTTTATTACCTGGGTTTGATACAAGTAAGTTTGAATAAGCAAAAGTCGTATAAACAAGGTTGTACTAGGCTCTCTAGTGCATGGCTGTGTTGGTCTTATCTCCTACCTAGAAGTCACTAGATACTCTCCATAGAACTCTAAGCGTGGCCTAATCTTGCAAACCTGGACAATTTCAAATAAAAGCACCATCAATGTTGGATCTTTGTCAATAAGATTATCTGACTCATCCAGGAACCAATACATCAAATGATCGATTTCTACAGAGATGAGTAGGAGCCCAAGCTATGTAAGCAGCCAGGCACTTTAATACAGGTGTACATTCCACATATGGTCTGTGTCTAGTCTGTCAACGCCCTGTGATCACATAATTGCATATATGCAATCTATAGGGCTACTTTCAAATTGTAGGGTCCGCTGAATCTTAGATGCAAGAATAATAAGACAGGTTCATACACGTTGATAAATACAGAAGTAGTTTCAAAGCCAAGATCACAACTTTCAATAACAGTCACCTTTACTCAGCTATCATTATTACATATTTATATGAGGCAGGCATTGTTCTAAAATTTTTTCAAGAATTAATTCATTTAATTTTCCTAACTGCTCTCTGAGGTGGAAACTACTCCAATTTTATAAATAAAGATACTGGCATGGACAGACTAAATAATTTGGTCAAAATTATACAGCTTGGGGGCAAGAAAACCAGGGTTCCAATAAGCCAGCCTGGCCCAGAGAACAGCACTTAGCTGCCACCCTCCCTCTTCTTAACATGAGCATCCATGCAAGGCAGGTGCTTATCTGGACTATCTTTAAGAGCATCAAATAAGAACAACCTGAACTACTACCCTTTTTCCTTCCCCACCTTTTTCCCTGTGGTTATGGGGAAAGTTGTTCATTCTGCACTGACATAACTACTAGAAGATTTCTCACTTCATAGCACATAAATACCACAAAAAATATAGAAAAATATTCAGTGCCTTACGTGACCTCAGTGCCTTTATAATTATAAAGGCATAAATGTAATTACATATTAAAAATGACAATCATAAGAATGAGTTCACAAAACATATAAGCTGATCTTAAGCAACATCAGCTGCTCTAAGTTTTGCATTAATAATTATCTGCTATTTGTCCATTCAGATTAAATATTAGCTAACAGCAAGGAAGTAAGAAAAATTTACAGGAGAAAACTCTAATCATTAAATTCCCTTCCTGCTGCAATTTGGAAAAAAGGGTCATCATTTAATTTAGCTACAGAATGGTTTTATCTAATCCACAAGATATCAGTATTCCTTGAGAACTTAATTTGAGAAATCCCGGTATAGTAGAAAACTCAGGAAGAAATGGGGAAAAAAAGATTCAACAGCCTTAGTGTCTGCCATGAAGGCATGGATTCTTAGTGATTTTTCCATTTTCATCATACTGTACTATTTCTTCCCAATTTCTAAGGCTTTTAAAAGAAAGTTTGGGGCACGGAAGCTTTCCTGTTCTCTCAATAAATTTCTGCTTTCCTACTCAAAAAACAACAACAAAAAAGAAAGCTTATATTCTTCTTTGTGCATCACTGATAATTATTAATTTTTTTACATTGTATAAGAGACAACAGACATTTCTATTTTTTATTTTATGCATTAAGTTTTTTAGAAAGTTAGAAAAAGTTTATTTAAGAAAGTAAATTAGAGAAAAAGGGTGGATCCACCTCAAGATTGAAGACAGCTGGGCGCTCATGCCTGTAATTCCAGCACTTTAGGAGGCAGAAGCAAGAGGATTGCCTGAGCCCAGGCGTTCGAGACCAGCCTGGGCAGCATGGCGAGACCTCATCTCTATGATAAATCTAGCTGGGCATGGTGGAATACGCCTGCAGTTCCAGCTACTTGGAAGGTTGAGGTGGAAGGATTGCCTGAGCCCAGCAGGCTGAGGCTGTGGTGGCCATGAGCGTGCCACTGCACTCCAACCTGGGCAATGGAGTAAGACTCCAATTCAAAAAAAAAAAAAAAAAATTGAAAAGGGGGCCAAACACTGAAGAAGTGTTTGGTCCAGTGGACATTTCTTCCTACATAACACAGTCCCCAGCCCCGGTGACATGGCAATGCTATGAATTCGGCAAAGAGGATACCTAATTAGAGTTATTTCCATCCCAAGTATCACTTCTTCCCAGTGCCAGAAAACACAATTAGACCTGGCTAACATGGAATACCAACTTGGGTTTTCACTGAGTTCATCCAGGATGTATGCCTGGTCCTCAGCCCCAGTACGGAATACAACAATGTATTTCTTGAAGGCTGTCAGCTTCCCGGGAAGGGTTTTCTAACAGTGCAAATACACCTCATGTGCTTCTGCTTCTTATAGGTCTGCTCCTCAGCTGTGTATCAGACACAGCTCTAAGATTCCCACTTACTCGGTCAAGTTTTTGGAAATCTTCCCTTTTCCTGATGGTAAACTAGCATACTCAGGAGATATTGGTTAAACAGGTAAGCCACATGAGTCAAATCAAAACCCAACAAAACCAAAAAAGCATCTCTTGACACTTTCTCAGTACAGGTTAATTCACATTCTGTAGGTGCAGTAATACAAAATGGTCTTCAGGATTCTGACTTCCAGAGCATGCAAAACAACAAATAGGGAGAGACGAGAAGAGGAATACTCAGCAACCGAATGGAGGGCTGGAAAACTAACCTACTTATCTTCCTGCAAGGCAGAGGGGTAGTAGACCAAGACAGCCCCGCCTGCCACCCCTGCAGGCTGTAGCAGGCAGTGGCTGCTTAAGGCATCCAGAAGTGGAGTTCCCTGGAGAGGGTTTCCCCTTTAAACACAAAGCACTTATTAAATATGCACACTGTGTGACAAGCTGAACTGTCAGCATCCTACTGATTCTAGTTATAACTATACTATCTGCCAAAAACTGGGGCAACCCATCAAAATTTAAAGAAAACTCAGCTTCTATGTCTTTTGAGAGGACGCTCAAGCAATGGAAGTGACTCTAAGTGAAGTCTATGCCATCAGCAAAGGACTATTAGGCCAGTCTTTATCTGCCGAGGAGGGAGAGCCACTCATTGGCTTAAGCTGAGGCTCTGGGTCTAGGGGAACTCAATCAAGCAAATATGCCACTTGCCTTCAGAGCTGTAAAAGCATGAGCTAAAACTCAGTCTTATTGTATGACCGTTTCTGCAGAGACAGTCAATCTGAGTTAAATAACTAATGGACACCAATTTGAAAGCAAACCACAGAATCACAGGTATTTAGATCAAAGGAACACTGTCTTATCCAGTCTAACACTTACTTTTAAAAACAAGTGAAAACTGAATAAATTCACTTCCCTTCATCTAGAACTTAGCCCCCCGCACCCATGTCTGCATCTACATGGAAACAGCAGCACATTAAGATTCAAATTGCATGGCCCCAGGAGTGAGGTGGTGATCACATCAGCAGTGGATGCTGGATTTTGGAAATAGGAAATGACCTTTATTTGCCCAGTTGAGAGACACATTCAATCCCCTTAGACCAGAGGTCACCAAAAGATCCCTATAGATCACTCCGGATATATGATAGTTCTACCCTCTCTCTCCCCTCCCATAACAAAATCGGCAAAACCTAGAAACCCCCGCATTGGAACACAATCCTTATTTCTGAGACATCCTTCATATGGGGTTTTACTCTATCTTCTTATGACTTCAGGGCCCTTGTGAGCAGTGATTTTCTATAGGGGCCCAAAAGCCTGTCTGAGCCCCTGCTCACCTCTGCCCAGCGAACTGGTAGGATAGGGAAAGGGAAGACCATCACTACTATTCCCTAACACAATGGAGGCTGCTGGTATGCATGCGTGACTAGGACTCTGCTTGGGGAACAGAAATGTAAACTGCCATCAGCATCTTACTAGCAACAAAATGGCAACTAGCTCAGCCTCGAGACATTTCCAAAACTGTTTACCAGCCTATGTGGTTTCATCTCGAGTTATGCCTGGTGAGGTGACAATATGCCTAATGCTACTGTGGAAAAGAACACCATGGTGTGAAGGGTCGTTTCTGTGACAGTGACTAAAGTTGCTGATCTCTGAAAACTAGACTGGTAAACAACTTTATACTGACTGGCTTTTCATAAGCAACACAGAGGTCTCCGTTTTTCCTGCATGAGCTTTCACAAACCGAATGATGAAAAGAGGCCTTGATTCAGGTTGGACACAATATATTAGACTTCTATAATAAAATTACTGAAATCTCTTTTCTCCTTGATTTCTGATTCCCAGAGTCCCAACCACATAAATGTTTTTTCCCTTAATGGAAAAGTAAAAATATTCCCAAGTGAGATGTTAAATTTCCAGCAACAAAGAAAACTGGGGGAGCAATTTACTATTCTGTGGTTTCTGGAAGTCACAAACTTCTAAATAAAGACAACCTTGGTAACTATTTACTCCTGCCTCCAGTAGGCAGTGAAGATAGCGAGGCTCAATCTAGCTTTAAAAAAAAAGAACATAAACAGGGTGCACGTGCATCAAATCAAGAAGGAGCCTAATAAGCTTTTCTAACAGGGAAATTCTTTAAAACACATCCTTAATACTGTAACATTCCCAGAACACTATTGTCCTCTAACTTCACTATGTCCTCCAACATCAACTTCATCTAACTAGAGTAGACACCATGAATTAAAAGAGAATACTTACGGTACCATGGGATATGGTCAGAAAACCATTTTTAACTGAACATTTCCTTTTCTGCCACACTTTTCGGATCCTTTTGGATAAGTGGGAAAAACAATAAGAGTTTAGACATTTTGGACAAGGAGATAACGAACGTACATTTCAACTTCAGCAACGCCACTTTACATACCCATCACTCTTCTTATAGAGGTTGCCATTTCGCTCGGTTCCATGTTCTTTGTTTCCCTGAGGCTGATGCAAGCTGTAAGCTGTACTCTGACGAATTTGGTAATCCTAAAAAATGGCCAAGAATTTGTTTTTAATCCTGTTCAAGCCCCATTAAAAAAAAAAAAAAAAAAAAAACAGTCACAAAGAAAACTTATGCCTAGATTTTTTTTTTAAAAGAGAAATTTCTTCTTCTCACCACACCATAAAGGAACATAAAATTCACATCCAGGAACTCATAAATGTCATCTATCAGGCTTGAAAATGAAATCTCAGAAACCAGTATTCCCAAACTGGCTGAAAGAAGGAGGAACCTGAAAGTTACCAGGTTTTTCTAACTGTGAGACTTAAGTCTCTGACAATAGTTAAGAAGCTCCCACTATAGCCAGAGCAGCCCTCAGGAAGGTAACCTGGCATGTGGAAAGTTAAGAGCTTTCAAACAAAACAATAAAAACAAGTTTCTGCCTCTTACTACAGAAACATTAACTTAAGCTCTTTGCCTCAGTTTCCTTCTCAGATAATATTAAAGTAGTATCTAAGAAAGACAAAAAACACAGTAAAGATTGACTTCACTTCCTCACTACATCAATCTCAAGTAAGGGGGGCCAACCCTGAACAAGAAAAGGCTTGATCACATGGTCAGCTGAGAATCTGACTGAGTCTACCACAAGTGGGAAACATCAGCCTATAAACTTCTTCAGGCAAGGACCAGCAATGAACTCTCCAGGCCAAGACTAGTGCTTGGCATCCAATAGGCGCTCACTTGGTGTTTAACAAATGATATCAGACATCCTGAGCTGAGGGCTGGAGAGGCAACCAGTACCAGTGCAGAAAATTCTGCTTCCTTTAGGCTTAAAGGACATGAACAATGAGTTCATAGGTCAACCAAGCCCTATGAGAACCACCCGCCCACCCAGTTCATTTCATAAAGGAAGAAAGAGAGATGCAACAAAAGTAGGTGGTGTGCTCAGGGTGCAGAACTCCTTAAAGTAAAAGTAGAGCATGGTGGAATCCTGCCTTCCTCTCTGATGCTCATTGTATTGTACCATGTTGTCTTGACAGAGGATGCTCTCAGAGTCTATGGCCAGTCTCATTGCTGCCATTAAGCAGCTGGCCATCCTTGGGAAAACAAAGCACACACCCAAACAATGAAAGAACTAATGCATGAAAATCAATGTGATTCAGGTCGAGAATAAGAGTATTCAAGAAGTGAAGAGTCAAACAGAAAGGGAGAGTTTGGAAGAAGTGAGTTTTAAAGATGAAGAAAAGGACTGGCAGAGAATAAGCAGAAGATCTTTGAGGCAAAGGGGACAGACACAGAAGACATGCAGAGGGGCAAAGTGGAGGCTGTAATTCAGCACCCAGGGAAGTGGGACAAATTCTGCAGCTAAGGTAATATGGTCAGGTGATACACAAGACAGGCAGGCAGAGTCAGAGTTTAGACTGCATGTAAATGCAACAGTGAGCCTCATAGATTTTTTTCTTTTCCCCCTCTGTAGCCCAGACTGGGGTACAGCAGCACATTCATAGCCACCACAGCCTCGACCTGCTGGGGTCAGGCGATCCTTCCACCTCAGTCTTCCAAGTAGCTGGAACTACAGGAGTGCACCATCATGCCCAGATAATTTTTTTTTTTTTTTTGAGTTGGAGTCTCACTCTGTCACCCAGACTGGAGTGCAGTGGCCGCTTCCGGCCACCGCAGCCTCGATCTGCTGGGCTCCGGCGATTCTTCCTCCGCAGCCTTCCGAGTAGCCGGAATTACAGGCATGCGCTACCACGCCCGGCTGATTTTTTGATTTATTGTAGAGATGAGGTCTTGCTGCCCAGGCGGGTCTCGAACCCGTGGGCTCAGGCAATCCACTCACCTCAGCCTCCCAAAGGTGTGGGATTACAATCTGAGCCACCGAGCCCGGCTCCAGATAATTTTTTGATTTACTGTAGAGCCGAAGTCTTCCCTGGGCTCAGACAATCATCTTGCCCCTGCCTTCCAAAGTGCTGTGAACACAGATGTGCGTCACAGCACCTGGCCAGCCTCTTAAGATTTTTTTTGACAGTTTGAAAAAAAAAAAAGACTTTGGGCCAAGTGCAGAGGCTCATGCCTATAATCCCAGCACTTTGAGAGGCTGAGGTGGGAGGATCATTTGAGGCTGGGAGTTCAAGGAAAAAAGATAGTGAAGCACAGAAGTTTTAAATTTTGATGAAGTCCAATATATCACCTCTTTAGGAGTCCTACTGAAAAGACTATGGCCTAATTCAAGGTCACAAAGATTTATACCTATAAATCTCTTCTAAGAGTTTTACAGTTTTTGCCCTTACCTTTAGGTTTTTTATTCATTTTGAGTTAAATTTTTATTATGGTACGAGTTAAGGGTCCCAGTTCCTTCCTTTGCTTGTGTCTGTCCAGTTGTCCCAGTATCATTTGTTGAAAAGACTAATTCTCTCATTGCCTTGGCACTCTTGTTGAAAATTAATTGTCCCAAAATGTAAGGATTTATTTCTGGACTCTCAATTCTATTTCATTGATCTATATGTCTTTCCTTATGCCAGTACCACACTGTCTTCTTTATTACAGCTTTGTGTTAAGTTTTGAAATCGAAGCCGAGCTCGGTGACTCAGCCTTTGGGAAGATGAGGTGAGTGGATTGCCTGAGCCTGCAGGTTCGAGACCCGCCTGGGCAACTTGGCGAGACCTCATCTCTACAATAAATCAAAAATTAGCTGGGTGTGGCAGTGTGCGCCTGCAGTTCCAGCTACTTGGAAGGCTGAGGAGGAAGGATCGCCGGAGCCCAGCAGGTTGAGGCTGTGGTGGCCGGGAGCAGCCACTGCACGCCAGTCTGGGCGACAGAGTGAGACTCCAACTCAAAAATAAATAAATAAACAAACAAACAAATAAATAAATAAAAGTTTTGAAATCGGGAAGTATGAGTCCTTCAACTTTGTTCTTTTTCAAGATTGTTTTGGGTGATCTGGATCCCTTACATTTCCATAAGAATTTTAGAATCAGCTTGTCAATTCTGCAAAAAGGCAGCTGGGGATTTTATGGGGACTGTACTGAATCTGTATATCAATTAGGCAAGTGCTATCATCTTAACAACACTAAGTCTTCCAATCCGTAAATATGACTGTCTAGCACTGACTTTTTAAACTCTCCAAGAAAAAAAAATCTTCATATAGCAATCAACATTGTGCTTAGGCACTCTCCATTAATGATCTGACAACTGATCCTGAAACAAGCAGACCCCAAAATGGGAAAAATGAACTCATTTCCATCGAGTTCACATAGCACTCATGCCTCTGGATAACTAGGGCAAACAGCTCATTCATGGGATGAGGATGGTCCCCGTTTCCACATTCTCTCAAAAGGGTAGTACATCAGCACTAGAAATTTAGAATAAACCTAGCTTTAAAAATTGCTGAGAACAATGCAGTAGAAGGAAAATGGAGAAACACTGCTCACCTGTATGGAATCTCTGTGAAAGACTAAAAATAAACCTGTCAAGAGACTAAACTGCACAACCAAGAAATACATCTATTGATTTGGGGAGAAAAAAAACCTTGCACAAAGTAAGTGGTGAAATCATGTGACAACACTGCCAACAGTGTTCGTGCCAAGCATATTAATCAGAACTATTTTCAGGTCTTATGAACAGGATAAAGAACATTCTTCTTTTCAACAGAATCAGACCCTATGCCAGAAGTAAAAAGAAGGAATTACTCTGTTTTATTCTTTTCTTTACATCAGGCCTTTTTGAATCAATTAAAGCATGCAGGCAAATCTGAAACTAAACTATCATTAAACTTTAAATTTTTTTTTAAAAAAAGAATATAATCAACTTGACACAAAACAACCTGCTTTAGCATGAATTATTTCAGCATTCTGTAGGTGACTTCTAGGTGACCTGATATCACCTTTCTTAACCTGTATACAGTGTCTGACCAGGTAAAAACGTGACAAAGGAAGCAGCCCTTTAACATGATGATGGTTTCAGTTTATGGAATACAATGCAAGAAAAAAGGAGTCTCTTTCTTGAGAGAACAATAATCTAACATAAAGAGAGGGCACTGACCAAAGTGGTCCATCTTGCCCCAATTCTTAGATGTACTCTTTACTTCCCTAAGAGAGACAAGGACAATGTAAGACTTGATTGAGAAAGCCACAACTTGCAGGTACTGCCTGTGTGTCTGAGATATGCAGGTTAAGTGAGCACTTTATGGAACCTCAGGAGGCTCTCATAAAACTCTATCAATATACCCTCTATCCTGTGACATCCAGACAAGTTCTCAGATCCCCAGCATTGTCCATGATCTTAACCTTCAAGTGGCCTTATGAAATATAAACATTTGGGTTCTACCAAGACAGAATCTACCCAGTAGACTTAACATCTAAAATCTTTAGGTATGGGGCAGCCAGGGAGATGTTGCCTACATTACAAATATCATACACAGGTTTGCTCATAACATCAGAAGAATTCTCAAGCTGTCTAAAACTCTAGGATATCACAAAAATACCATAAAAAGTTATTCTTTGTCCATTTCTCAGAAAGTCTGTGTTCAGACAATTCTTGTGATTAATGAACTATTGAGAAGTCATCTCTAGGGCCTTAAAATGTTCTGCCCAAGGATGGCAGTGATGTCTAACTCATTCACCATCTTCTGAATGTGTGACAGGTGTGTCTACTCACATGGGTACAGCCAGGAGCTGGAGCCCTTGCTAAGTCTAAGAACCATGTTTGTATATCTCATTACCACCTGCTTTCCATTATTTTGAGATAATTTTTAAAAGACTGGCACAAGATATTAAAGTCACGTGACACAGCTAAAACAGAACAGGTTTGAGGTGGACTAGACCAGAGTTCCAAATTCAGTCTCTGTCACCACTGCATGTCCCCCAGGAAGTGCATTCATCTTCTGTCTCTTGCAGTCTCAAGTTGTAAACATGGGTGAATGCTACCCACCCTACAAGGTGGTTGTAAGGATTCTTGGTCACACCTGTAAAATGCCTAGAAAAACCTGACAGTGAGACCTGTCTCCATCCCCAGAGTGAGAGGATATGTGAAGTGTGGTGCAGGCTGGAAACAGGGAGATAGGTGAGGAGTAGGTGAGGCTGAAAGGCCTGGGTCAGAGCTGAGTCTGACAGCACCTTAAGTCAGAGGGGAAGGTGTGACAAGAGGCCAGAGCCATGAAGACAAAGGGCCAAAGACAGGCCAATAAGGAAGCTATGTGGGTGGAGGGACATATTGGAAATGACACCATGAGGGTGAACACAACTGTATCTTCAGAATCTAAGTGTGCTCAATATTTGTTAAATGAATGAAAGAACTAGTACCTGTTTATTAAGATAAAGTATTATGTGCTTTAGAGAAATGATTTCTTAGATCTCACAACTCTCTGAGGTAAGCCACACTATTCCTTCTTGACAGATAAACAGACCAAAGCATGGAGAGGTCCAGAAACCTGCCCAGTATCACACTGGAAGGAAGCAGAAGACCTAGGATTCAAACGGAAAGATCTAAGTTCTTCTCTTGGCTAGGCAGCTACCAAGGCAAAACCCTTGTCCTAGTGAGATGCTGTCTTCACCTGTTGGGACTCTGCTTACTCCTATCATTCTCCAGAGTCCCAGAGCTCAGGCATCATAGCCTCTAGGAAGTCATCCACGACAGCACCTGTCTACGACACACTGGGCATACATCCCTTCTTGGAGCTGGCCCAAGTACTTCTCTGTTCTCACCACCAGATCATGAGCCCCTGAAGAGGTGAGAAATGGATCTCTTATTCTGGTGTGTGTTCGTGTGGTGCTGCCTTAGAGACCACAGAGGAAAGGGTAGCTGAATGTGTGAGTCTTCTACTGAGGCAAATATGAAATCCAGGACCACACTACCTAGTAGCTCAGCAGAAGAGGCGGGCAAGCGGCCACTGGCAGAGGTTTCTAATTAAGGCCAGATTTAGGTACAATGAGCTACACAACCCAGATGGCAAATAGAGTCTGAAGAAAATCACAGCACAGTGATTCACCACATCCTAATAGAAAGGATGCTTGAAAAGGGGGAAGCAAAGCTGACAGAGAGATAGATACCATGCTTTGTACAGTGGAAAATCATGATGGTTTCAGTACTTAGACCAACCAAGACCATATCCCAGGGTCTGATCCTCCCCCTAGAAGCACAAGCCTGGCTTCTCAATATCAAATAGCAGAAAGCCTGCAGACCAATGATGGGGTTTTGGCAGGGACTCTGCCAACATTGCAGTAGGGTCTGTCCACTGAGATGGATGGCCATGGGATGAGGAAGGCAGGAGAGAGTGAGGCTGACAGGAAGAGAGCACACATAACAATGAGCAATGCTCAAGGGTTTTAACTTTGTTGATGGGGTCTTTTCCAAAAATCAAACACTGGTGCATAGACAGGTGTTTGCTATATAATATTTTACTAGAGGTGTTCACTGTACAATTTTTCAAACTTTTCTTTAAGGTTGAGATTTTTCATAGTAAGACAACAGAAAAAACAAGGAGTAGTATCCACTTTACAGATAATAGAAAATCATGAATGTCAAATAATTGGGAAGTATGAGGTCACTAGGATCATAATGGTAACAGTCTCCAACCAAAATGTAGCCACAGGTGACAAAGAAAAGCAGCCCAAAGCCACAACACTGTAATGGCCACATTCTTCATTTCTTTCAGTGATGGATGTTTGAGATTTACAAAAAGAGACTAAGGAGTACTGGCTTTTACCAATCATCAAGACAGTTTCCTTGAGGCACAATATCTAATTTTTATGAATTGTATGTAACTATATAGTCAGAGATAGACTTGTTTTTTTTTAACACTGAATAAAAATCATGTAACATTTTCAGTTTTCTATTTCATAGAAGAGACTCCAACCGAAGAGAAATGAGACCTTAAACAACAATGCTTGGATGGTCAATTCTTGTTGGAATTAGAGGGACACAAGTGGAACTCCATCATAAATATCATTTAAAAACATACATAATTTAACTTATTCACATTTGCTTATTACTTGCAACTATGTTCATAGATTGTCCAAGTTACTGAATACCATCACCAAAATGCAATGAAGAGCATGATACACAGAAAACACAATACAACCACAAGTAGGAGACTGGTTAGTTAGGTCTTGACAAGGAGCCAGCTGGGCAGACAGCCAAAGAACAGTAAATAAGGCTGGCTCACTTGACCCCTCTGTGCAGTTAGGGGCAGATGGGCTGGTCAACAAAAAATAAACCATAAAAGGCTTCTGATCTGTGCTGGTAAATTTGTTATAAAAAAACCAGCTCACAACAGTCATCTCGCAACAGCCAGTTTTCCCAATTCTCTTAGTTCTACATAGCCAAAGCAAACACAGCCCTTGTAACATACCGAGAGGGCTACTTGACTCCAGCAGCTGTTCTGCCTTATTTTTAAACCTGAGCTTTGCTTCACAGGTTTGATTCCCCTTCTTAGACCAAAGCAGCTCTCAACCATTTCCATCAATGTACTGGAGAGCATCTACCTGGGATGGCATTCTGGCTCCCATGGTTAGTACCACCTTTTCTAGTTACAATTTAGGCCACTATTTTCTCTATACTCCAAGTTCATCTTTTCCTCCCCTTTTCTTTTCTCTTTTTGTGCTTAAATTCCATGTTTGGGAATATCAAAGCATTGGAACCTAAATTCTCTAGACTGGGAAGAAGTCACCATGCTGTGGGTAATTTCAAGCACTACATATAACCGTGCTCTACCAGTGTCTTACTTGAGTGACCCATGTTTACCCAGATCCTACTAACTGTGTGCCATGACACTACAATGTGATAGAACAACAGCACAGAAGGCAGGAGGGATTCCCCCAAACTGCTCACAGTCTAATTGGGAAAAAAGGCATCTGTGCATTTAAGACACAGTCAAGGCCGGGCTCGGTGGCTCAGCCTAAAATCCCGTGCTTTGGGAGGCCAAGGTGAGTGGATTGCCTGAGCCCGCAGGTTCGAGACCCGCCTGGGCAACTTGGCGAGACCTCGTCTCCACAATAAATCTTTAATTAGCCAGCCATGGTAGTGCACGCCTATAATTCCGGCTACTCGGAAGGCTGAGGCAGAAGGATCGCCAGAGCCCAGCAGGTCGAGGCTGCATTGGCCGGGAGCATGCTACTGCACTCCACTCTTGGCGACAGAGTGAGACTCCAACTCAAAAAAAAAAAAAGACACAGTCAACAATTGAACAAGGAATAGGCTGTGATTGAAACAGGCCTTTCAAACAGAACATGATTTTAAAACTCAGATCATTGTGGGCTGGGGTGATTAGAGGCAGCTCTCCATAGGCAGGGCTTCAGATGAACTAGAAGGAAGTATGGAATTCAGCCATACAGGAAAGTGGTGGTGAGGGAGGAAGCTGCTTCATCTTCATGAGGAAACAACAGCAAAAGTGTAAACTGTAAACCTGGAAATGGCTGCACTAATATTTGTGCATTTAAACTCTTTAGTCTTAAATAAAATCTATTACAATGGAAGAGGGGTTAAAATTTAAAATGATAATAGCCATTAATATATAAAAGGAAAATATAATGTATAAAAGGAAGATATAATTTATAAAAGAAAATTCATGAATAAAGCATGCAAAATTCTCCAATTTATTAAAATACTGAACTACTTACTCTCCTAGACTTCGGTCACAAAAGGTAAATGCATTTGGAAGAAAAACAACAATATTCAGTTATAGTACAAGAACTTACAGCAAAATGGAGCATTCCAAACTGCCAAACAGGGAAACATTCTCTGTTAAGAGTTTAGTAATTTATCTAAAATCTACTAAATATACATTTAGACACATTGCTTTTATTGACAAGGAAGTGGATTTATGTTAAATTCACATTATAATGCCCACATTGTAATGAAAATATCTTTAGAATTTACTTGTGTTTTTTTTAAATAAGTCCCCAAAACACAAATGATCACTACTGATGTGTTAGCACACAGAGACATTATTATAGGAAAGAAATGATGCAAGAGAAACTAAGGGTTTCTGTCCATTAGGACGCAGCTGTAAGAAAAACTAACTACTACATTGGATAAATCACAACCTAAGGGCTAGAAGAGCCCCAGATGGTCACCCATTTCATGCCTATGTCCCAGAATAAATGGCACCAATGACACATGGTCTGTAATGGAGCCACCAAGAGCTACTCATCTAGCAATTAATAGAGCAAATAAGGTTTATATATTGCTATCAAGGCCATGCCTGTAGTAAATGCATCCCTCGTGGAGTAAACATATTTTAAAATATGGTTTTATAGAACTAATGTAAAGGACACACTAAATGTTTGAGTGCTGCTTAACATAGCCCCTGAGTGAACAGGTCCTTGAAGAGATGAACCTCACATTCTTCAGACGCGAAAGTCTCCCAGACATGGGAATACAACTGCCATATTTCAAAATTAAATCCTCTCACCTCCTTCTGTTCAACCTGCAATGCTGATTTCAAAATATCTCGAAGTTGTATCAACTGCCTTCTTTCTTCATCTTGGGCCTGTTTGATCTTTAAAACACACACATAAAACAGAACAAAACAGAAAATTAAGACTGAGGTACAGTGAAATATTAGTGCTCACAGAGCATTTCCACACAAACACAACAACTGCCTTCACTAGTTAAAAAACCTTCCCTCCAACCAAAACAGAGGACCAAGCAGGAACTCCATGCTCCATGTGGCTTGACAGGGCTATTTGTTTCTGAGTAGCACAGCATGCAAACATGAGGTTATACAGAAGCAACATTTAAATGAAAATGATGGTTGCATAAACATGGTCTTAAAACCACTGTGGGAGGGAAGCTACTCACTGTGTGAAGATCTGTGGAAAGCGTTTCAATGGAAGGCTTGAGGCTTTCTACAGCTTTCAGTCCATCCTGGAAAAAACTAGCAGGAAAAAGAAGAAACAGAGATTCATCTCAGATAGGAGAAAACAATTTTGTTAGATGAAGAAAAAACTTCTTTAAAGGAAAGTGACTAGAGTCATTATGTAAGTCCTGGGAGGAAAGATTATATGAACAGAACCTTAAAATTATCAGGCAAACCAATAAAGTGACACTCAAAATCAGGAGAAGTGAATAGAGAAGGAATTGCAATAAGCCTAAATATTTGACATGCTATTGTTCCATATAAAATGAGGCCTTGATTTTCAATTTATGATGGGAAAGAGGATTCTACACATGGCAACAAGAGCTTTGATTCAAGAGTCTTCTGAGCAACCAAATGGAAGGATCCGAGGTCAGAAAAACCATGGGGTACAAGCAAGAGTAAGGCACTAAAGAATTTCCCTCAATGGGTGACAGTTAAGTGGAAAAAAAAAGAAATGCAGAAAGGAGTTGAGCACCTTTGATGGCCATTCTCCACATCCATAGAGCGGAAAACTGTGGATGGAGAACTTGAGATCAAATATCAACTCAATGCTGTGCAGTCATTTACAAGTGATTGAGGAGATGCAACAGAAGCTAGATAAGTTTTTCTGCAGCAACAAACAGTAGGCTGGTGTTCAGCACTGTCTCTGAATCATTTTGTGCACAAGGGGGAAACCAAAAAAAACCAGAATTATTATTTATTTATTTATTTATTTTTTGAGTTGGAGTCTCACTCTGTCGCCCAGACTGGAGTGCAGTGGCCGCTCCCGGCCATTGCAGCCTCGACCTGTTGGGCTCCAGTGATCCTTCCGCCTCAGCCTTCCGAGCAGCTGGAACTACAGGCGCGCGCTACCACGCCCGGCTAATTTTTTGATTTATTGTAGAGATGAGGTCTCGCCAAGTTGCCCAGGCAGGTCTCGAACCCGCGGGCTCATGCAATCCACTCACCTCAGCCTCCCAAGGCGTGGGATCACAGGCTGAGCCACCGAGCCCGGCTCAGAATTATTTTTTGTCGCGCAGGTTTCCCCACTAGCAAGTGCTCCAGGAACCCATCGGCATCAGTATACCATCTAGCGTTGTTGTAAGAGGCTGCATTCAGCTTCAGTAATTTTTAGGAGGGAATTCTTCTTGCATATACCCACTTCATGATGGGGGATTTATACTAATGACCTGCCCACACCTCGCTCCCTATTCACCCAATGTCACCCGAGTGACTTATTTTTTGTCTCCCCAGATGAAAAAAATCCTCAAAGGGAAACATTTTGCCGATATGATAGAAGAGAAACAAAAAGTGGCAGAGGTCAGGTTCGGAATTCCAGCACCTTGGAAGGCCAAGGCAAGTGAATTGCCTGAGCTCAAGGTTCAAGATCGGCCTGGGCAATTTGGTGAGATCTCGTCTCTACAACAAATAAAAAATTAGCTGGGAATGGTAGCACACGCCTGTAGTTCCAGCTACTTGGAAGGCTGAGGCAGAAGGATCGCTTAAGCCCAGCAGGTCGAGGCTGAGGTGGCTGTGAGTATGCCACTGCACTCCAGCCTGGGCGACAGGGTGAGACTCCAACTCAAAAAAAAAAAAAAAAAACAAGGCAGAAACGCTAAAAGGCATCAAAATTGATGAGTTCAAAAACTGTTTTGAGTAGCGGAAAAAGCATCTCAATAGGTGTACTGCATCAAATGGAGAGGACTCTGAAGGTAACTGAAGATTAAGAATATACACTTTTTAAAATAAATAATTCTGGCTTTTTTGAGGGCCCCTCTTTGTATAACCTTTTTGAGAGGAATGAAGAAAAGTTTCCTCCATGAGCTAGGGGAGAAAGTTCAAGCCCTGTAACAACGCCTACTATGCCCGTGTGATTTGGCCCCTGCCTATGGCTCCAGCCTCAATCTATACTGCTTCACCTCCCCTCATTCGCTGGGTTCCAGACACACTGGCCTTCCCTCTATTCCTCCACAGCCACCAAGTCTTCCTGCCCACAGGCCCTTTGCATATGTTGTTTCTCTTCTCTAAATGCTTCTCCCTGCAGTATATCTGTTTCACCTGGCTAATTCACATTCATTCTTCAAGTTTTAGGTTAAAAATCGCCTCATTAGTGCAGTCTTCCATAAACACTTATCTTAAAAGAGGTCGTCACCTTGTTATATTCTCTCAGAGCATTTTGTATTTTGCTTCAAACTGCTTACCAAAACTACCATGATATAATCACTAGTGTGATTACTTAACATATAACTCTCCCCCATTAGATCTGAAATTCTAGGGGGAAGGGCACAGTATCCACAAAGCCTGGCATATTTTAAGCATACGGTATTTGTTGAATGAAGAAATAATTTAACGAAGGAAGGAGAGTTGCCAACTTCTGCCAGTGTATTGGATACCAGGGAGACTATCTTTAAAAAGTGATCTGGGTTTCACATGTGTCATGTGAGGTGATGTTTACTTCTTTTATACTCAGCAATGGCCCTGTGGGACTTCTCCATACTAAGTGTGTCACAAACAGAAGAGGGTGCAAAAACAATGCAGCATGTTATTAATACAGTGATTCTGAGGAGAAAGGAAAGGGAACACTCACACACAGGATGTGGGCTACAAACCATTACTCACTAGCTTTTAGGGGCACAGAGGCCAGACCCTAGACTGTCCTTACCTTAATCTTTAGATATACACATCATTCTTTATGTGCGTGTTCTTGTATTTTACCTGACTTTTTTTCCCTAAATATAGAACATGTTTCTGGTACAGCAATTGAATTACAGTGTTTTTTTTTTTTTGAGTTGGAGTCTCACTCTGTCGCCCAGACTGGAGTGCAGTGGCCGCTCCCGGCCACCGCAGCCTCGACCTGCTGGGCTCCGGTGATCCTTCCCCCTCAGCCTTCCAAGTAACCGGAATTACAGGCGTGCGCTACCATGCCCAGCTGATTTTTTTTTTGATTTATTGTAGAGATGAGGTCTCGCTGCCCAGGCGGGTCTCAAACCCGCGGGCTCAGGCAATCCACTCACCTCAGCCTCCCAAAGGCGCGGGATGACAGGCTGAGCCACCGAGCCCGCTGAATTACAGTGTTTATAATGATCTATCCACAGGTCTGTTGCCATGGTTAGGGAAATGCAAAGACCTATATATCTCTGTGCTGTCCACATCCAGCAAAGTGGATGGCATACAACAGATGCTTCGTCTAAACTAAAAGGAAATTTGGAAGAACGATTGCAAAGTTGCACAAACGAAATGCTGAGCCTCTCCCTTTTGTCATGAACTCTACTGGTTCTTATATTTACATTTTCTTCTTTATGTGATTATTTCCTTAATGACTTCAAATTTTTGTGAAATACACACACACACAAACACACACCGCGCTCTCCCTCTCACTCTCTCTAGATATAAAACATATATCTACATATAGATATATAAACATATATATCTAGAGAGAGAGAGAGAGAGAGAGAGAGAGAGATGTGTATATATACCACACATTTTAAAGGATGTTATTTATGTATTATTTTTAGTTCTTTGTAATCAGAAGTGCCCGGACGCTGATGGTAACCACTTTGAACACCTCTTGTAATTGCAGAAGTCAAATGTGACTTGTATTCATCTTTTGTTATCAGTATATATTGAGTATTACAATTTTAACAAATTTTTCTTTTCTTAAAACGTATATACATTTTTTGGAGACAGACAGAACATGAGAGAGATAGTATTAAGATAAAGAGTAGGAAAAATATTACAGGAGATAAATGCAAAACAACCCCTAGGGGGCGGGAACAGACGTAGAGTTCTGAACCTTTGCAACCTGGCAACTCTCCCCTATGGTGAGAAAGCCCTGTAGTGGAGTCAAGTGTTCAGAGGCATGTTTCTTATCACAACACGGTTTCTAGCATGACACTGGATAGTGCACTTGGAATAACAATATGAATCTGGATTAAGATTTGGATTTCATCTTTGTAGTAGCCTAGCCATCCTATCTACCTCGAAATCCTCCTCCCTCTGATTTTCAGAACCCATACCTTTCTGTACACTCCTTATTGAAGTGTAACTGGGCACACAGGTATGCCCTCAAAATGTAATCAGCCCTGGCTTCAGGGGGACCTTTAAAAAAAAATACTGTAGCTGTCAAGTAACTGCTGTCACTGTGACAGTCCTAAGTACCAATACCCAGCAAGCCTTCTGAAGTTAGGCCCATGAACACGTCTCCAGTCTTCAAAGAACTTTTACCATCAACATTACCACATCAAGTTTTGTTAGTATTTTCTAGCCTGCCTCACCAGAATCTTAAGTTTTTAAAATACCAAGCAGAGCAGCCTCTCCCTCCTCTGGACCCCAAGCATTGTGCTGGGTCTCCCCACCCCCTACAACACTCACACCATTACCCTCTAACATCGTATCCACTGACTGGCCTACCTGCGGTACCTGCCCCAGCCCTCTCTTGAAAGCAAGCTTCTTCAGGGCTCAAGTCACATCAACTCTGTGTCCCAAGTTCATGGAGCAACACATGGTCACAGTGGTTCTCAGCAGGTATTTGTTCAAAGAACAGGTCAAAGCAACATTCAATACTTTCTTTTAGAACATGGCTGTTTTATTGTTACTGTTTTAAAGATTGCCCTATTTCTAGATTCCACTAGAGAAAAGGATCCTTAGTCTTCGGCACCAAAGGCAAATAAAACAAATTTTCAGGATACTCCAGGAATGAAGTAGAGATGAAAATTCTTTCTTTAAATGAAATAAAAGTCGAAGAACATGAAATATTCTTCAAGAATACTTAAAGAGAAAAGAAGAAGAATGCATGCCTAGGTAGTTCTAAGGATCAACAGCCAAACCAAAATCCTAGAATCTAGTCTATACACAGGGCCTCTTTACCACTGCAGAGAACAGCCCTATGCAGAGGAAGTGCCAGCTCAGTAGGCACGGCTCTGCCCAGCAGGGCACAGCACCCACAGGCAGAACTGTGCTTTTGGGGGTTAAGAGTGGAGACTGGGAATGTGAGATGAGGGAACATAAACAGCCCCCACATGTGGAAATGTGGATGACTGCAAGCTCCATTCGTCCAATAGCTGAGTCACTCAGGTTTTTCGTTTTATCCTCCAAAATATGAATTAAAAAAGCCAAAGCAGCTCAACTGATTTGAAGAACATGCAGTGTACGTACACACACACACACACACACACACACAGTCATCCAAAGAGGAAGAAATGAAAGATTCACATTTTTAAAGATTACTAAGCTCATGTCCATAAAAGGCCAACTAGTTCACTTTTCCACAAGTGGCCTGTTGCTACCCAACTGATGAGTTTGGGTAAATAAAGAAAAAAAAGGAAATCCCAGAATAGCTTCTTCTTAAAAATAAAATATCAGCAAGGAAGCAACCCACTTCCTAAATTGCCTCACATAAGGACAAGAACTGAAGAAGTAATTTACATGTTAATTGCAAAGTGAGAATTTTGAGTTTCTGCAAAATAATTCACCTTGAAAATTCTATAAATTTAAGGTCTTTCCACCTTCTAAGGCTATTTTTTCAAGCTCAGAGGTCTCTCTCTTTTTAATTTTTTTTTTTTTAAGTTGGAGTCTCACTCTGTCACCTAGACTGGAGTGCAGTGGCCGCTCCCAGCCACCGCAGCCTCGACCTGCTGGGCTCCAGCGATCCTTCCACCTCAGCCTTCCAAGCAGCTGGAACTACAGGCGTGCGCTACCACACCCGGCTGATTTTTGATTTATTGTAGAGATGAGGTCTTGCCAAGTTGCCCAGGCGGGTCTCGAACCTGCGGGCTCAGGCAATTCACTCATCTCAGCCTACCAAGGCGCAGGATTATAGGCTGAGCCACCGAGCCTGGCTTTAAATTTTTTTAATTACATAAATCTATGGGATATAAGTGCAATTTTTGTTACCTGTGATGTGATCAAGTCAGGGCTTTTAGGGCATCCATCACCCAAATAACGTACACTGTATTCATTAAGTAATTTCTCATCATCCACCTTCTCATCCTTCCAAGTCTCCACTGTCTACAAATCCACTCTGTATGTCCATGTGTACACCTTTTTCAGCATCCGCTTAAGAGTGAGAACATGCAATATCTGTCTTTTTGTGTCTGACTTGTTTCACTTAGGATAATGACCTCCAGATCCATCTATGCTGCTATACGAAGACACAATTTCATTCCTTTTTATGGCTGGAGCTCTCTTTTAACCTGGGGTGGACCACTCAGCACATCCTCCTTTGCTGTTTGACCTCAACTGCTTTAGAAAGGCAATGTCATTGAAGCTGTATTAAGAATTCCAAAGCAGAGCTCAGTTCAATTCAACAGTGCAATTCACTACTGCAAATATGAACCGGGTAAACATGTTCCCACTGTATACAGAAAACAAACGCCACGGACCCTTCCTTAAGAGTATGTAATTCAGCCGGGCTTGGTGGCTCAGCCTGTAATCCCGCGCCTTTGGGAGGCTGAGGTAAGTGGATTGCCTGAGCCTGCGGGTTCGAGACCCGCCTGGGCAGCAAGACCTCATCTCTACAATAAATCAAAAAATCAGCCGGGCCTGGTAGCGCATGACTGTAATTCCAGCTACTTGGGAAGGCT